AGCTGTCTACAACAGAGACGTCAAGCTCACCACCAACCAGGAGCAAGTGGCCTCGAGTACATCCAAAGAAATTTAATGTAGTTGGAAAACACTGAACAAAATGAGTAAAAATACAATACAACATAATGTCAATTTGTGATTTTCTAAGTCAATATGTGGTCTATAGGGATTTGTTTCTATCTGAGTTTTACATCACTGATTTATGCTGATGAAATCACAAGTCAGAAAGAAAGAGAGAGAAAAAAGAAAGAAGGAAGAAAGAAAGAAAGAAAGAAAGAAAGAAAGAAAGAAAGAAAGAGAAAAAGAAAGGAAGGAAAGAAGAAAGGAAGAAAAAGAAAGGAAGAAAAGAAAGAAAGAAAGAAAGAAAGAAAGAAAGAAAGAAAGAAAGAAAGAAAGAGAAAGAAAGGAAGAAAGGAAAGAGGGAGGACAGACCATGGGGCAGTAGGATAGAGCCAGGAAGTCATGGGTTCAAGTCCTTCCTTTGAACATGCTAACTGTGGGACTCCAGGGAAAGTCACTCAACCACTCAGTCTCCCAGACAACTCTCTAAGACAATAAATTAGGTAAAATGGTGCCAATCTGCATGTCTAGTGGATAATCCTTTACCAGGAATTCCCAGTCCTGATGCAATCATAATCCTAGATCAACACAAAATAAAAAGAATCAACTGGAAGATTACATAGATATATAGACAGACAAGTAGATATAAATATGTACATATAAATGTAATCTATTATTAGTATGATAGGTTTTAGAGATGGGAAAGAAAAAACCCTAAATAGCAACTAGCTCAATCCCTCAGAGAAGCAAAATAATTTATCTCTACTCACAAAAAAAAAAAGTAACTCACATTTACACATATGTCTTTAAGGTTTCCAAAGTTCTTTCTTCATAACATCCTGGCTAGGTGGATTGTAAGAGTATTATTACTCACCTTTTGGAGCGATTTGTTCAGTTATGCAAGTGCCAAGTGTTGGGATCTAAACACTCCCAAATCACTGCTCCTCCGTCTACAACCGTAGTCACTGAAAGTTAGCTCTGGAAGAGGTCTTTGAAGATCTCTTCTAGCCCTTTTGTTTTTATAGCTAAGGATTTGTAAATGATACACTTACTATGGACAGAATGCATGATAAGCACCGGCCTCACAAACAACAGGACCTGAGCACTGTTACAAGCTTGCCCCAGGTCATTCTTAGAGAATACACTAAATCGGCGCATGAAATGGGGGGGAAAATAGGACTTTTAAATAAACTGAGGCAGAAGTCTCAATACTGTGGCTGTTTCCTCTAGGGTGTTGGTAGCCTTACCTGATCTTCCAAAGGAGCTCCTTCCAAGAGACCCTGGAAAAGAGCTGAGGGTTCTTCCAGGGGATGACATCCGTCTGCATGGTGCGAAGCCTTCGATGAGACGAAAGGCGGGCTAAAGTATCCGAGGACGGACAGATTGCTACCGAGCTCCCAGCCATCGCTTCTACAGAACAAACCTGAGTTTTCCAAAGGGGCTGCAATCCCGATCTTGGGCACAGCACTTTCCAGGAAGTGGGGGGGAGCCTGCGAGGCCCGGGCAGGCAGCTGCAAAACTAAAGAAACAGCGACCAAGTTTGTAGCCCACGGCCAACTCCGGGTAGGGAGGCAGAGCCTCATTATGTCCCAGCCCTGGAGTGGTGTGGCCCCTGGGAAGAGGCATGGGCTAGATATCTCTCCATGGAGCAGATGGGGAAAGAATTCCGAAGTTTCCAGGGAACAGATGAGTGGGAGAGTTTGTTACCCTGGACTAAAGCCCTCCCTTGCTACTGAGCATGCTCAGTCCCTTTGCAGGGAGGGTAAACTTTGAAAGAACATACTGCTTCTGCTAGTTTTCCGTGAGAAAGGGAAGGGAGGAAGCAGGGACACTGACAGGAGGAAAAATGTCAAGTGCTTCCACCTAGCTGGAAAGGACCACAGAACACAGAAGTCCAGGCTGTAAGGGAACTCGGAGATGGTTTAGTCCAGGTCCTGTGTTTCACAGACAAGACTGAGATGCTAGGGCGCATAACTGGTAAGTCAGGGAGCCATCCTCAGAGGCCAAATCCAGGGTTCTTTCCACTCTACTGCGGTGAATTGGCAGGAGCCTCGAAGTTCCAGCTTGACGTGCTGGAAAGAGCCCTAGATTGAGAAGACATGAGTCAGATCCCAACACATTATGTTACTTTAGGCAAATTTAGTGTCTCATCTTTAACACGAGGGAGTTGAACTAATAATCTCTAGAGGTCTTTCGAAGTACCATGATCTTATTTTATAAACAAGAAAATTGAGGTCCAAGTTGGAGAATTGACATAATCAAGATCACAAAATGATAGAGGAAATTTTCTCATCTGAGTGCCTCATGCAAATGAAATCAGCTTCAAGTCCATTTGTGAGATCTGGAGAGAGTCACAAAATCTCCTTGGGCCTCAGCCTCTTCATCTGTAAAATTGTGTATCCTAATTCCTACCCTGCCTTATAAAAATTAAATGATAATAAACTCAAAATGCCACTGCACTAAATAGTGAGAAAATTAACTAATCCTACAAAGCAGTGAAAAGACAAATACCATAAAGGGTTACAAACAAATGGCAGCTGCAGGGTTTCCTATCAATTTAAAGGGAATGATGATCTCTGATTTCCAGGTCCTTGTTTCTTTCACCACAGAGAAAATGCATTCATAGAATCACAGCATCTCAGAATTGAAAAATACCTCAGAAACCATCTAGTCCAGGGCTGTGGCCTCAAGGCCGCATGTGGTCTTCTAGATCCTTGGGGGTGGCTTTTGACTGAGTTCTAGTTGCACATAACAAATCCTTTTATTAAGGGGACTTGTTCTGTGAAGTTTGGATTCATTCAAAGGGCTGCACTTGAGGACCTAGAGGACCACATGTGGTCTCAAGGCTGAAGGTTCCCCAGCCCTGATCTAGTCCAATGCAGTGCTGAGCAGGCATCTCTGACATGTGTTCATCTAGCTTCTATTTGAAGACCTCTAGTGATAGGAAAGACAAGTAGGTAGCATAGTGGGTAGAATGTCAGGAAGACTCATCTCCCTGAGTTCAAATCCAACCTCAGAAACTTACTGGCTGTTTGACCTGGGGCAAGTCACTTAACCTCAGTTTCCTCAGTTTCCTCATCTGTAAAATAAGCTAGAGAAAGAAATGGCAACCCACTCCAGTATCTTTGCCAAGAAAACTCCAAATGGGGTCATGAAGAGGTAGACACAACTGAACAACAGCAGATTACAATGATAGAAAACTCACAAACGGAGGCATCTCAGTTCACTGATCATTTAATTCTCCTGATACCACACCTAACTGTGCATTTGTCCTTACCCCCATTATATTGTGTTGTTCCTTGAGAACAGGCTTACCTTAGATCATATCAGTCTTTGCATCCTCAGCACACCCCTCTGCATGGAAGACTAAGGATAGAGATAGTTACTGGACCTATGATTTCAGTGATGTAGGGAACTCCCAGGTGAAAAAAACCCTTCTATCAATGCTGGACAAAATCTCTTCCACTTAGAGGATTGTCTGGGAAATCGCAGGGGCAAGTGACTTGACCAGGGTTGCACAACCAGGATGTGTCAGAGGACGGATTTGAATCCAGGTCTTCTTGGCTCTTCAGCTACTCTGTTACACTGAAGAATAGGAATCTAAAAATTATTTGTTGAATTTCCAGTGTCTCTGACTGAAGCAAAGAGAAAAAAAAACTGGTGAAACTTAAATATTGCTCCATTCCCTCTCCTACTTAAGTTCCCACTCTTCAGAGGGAAGATGCTCTGGTCCCCAGCTCATGCATTTCATCCTCTTAAGGAGCCCAGATCCCTATATTAGACAAATAAAGGCCTATTGGATTGGACCTGTAACCTCCCCTATTGCCTCTTACTCCCTGTTGTCAATCTTGAATCATGACTAGGCCAAGAGCTGGTCCTCAGTAGGTCAGAGATTTCCTTATGCTAACCCTCACTTTATGGCCTGGAAATTGTCTTGTCACCAATGCAACCAGAGCCTGCCTAGAGGGCAGGCAAATCAGAAGAATTGATCAGTAATAGGAGTGGCCTAGAAATAGTGGGGAAAATCCTAAATTTATGATCAAAAGACCTAGTTTCAAGTCCTATGTTTCCAAAATACTAGTTGTATTCAACCTCTCTGGCCTTCAGTTTCCTCCTCCATGAAATGAGAATTGGCCTACACAGTCTCCAAGATTCTTTGTAGATCTCATTCTTATTCTTTCAGTCTTCTCCGGTATGAATTTAAAGGGAACAGAAAGATAAGAAGAAGAAATCAAGAGGGAGATGTTACCATTATCTTCTGCCTACAAATCCCACCAAGTTTATACTTCATCCTGCTCTCTCCAGTTCTGGCATTATCTAGAGCAGGGGAGGGGAACCTTCAGCCTGGAGGCCACATGTGGCCCTCTAGGTCCTCAAGTGAGGCTGGAGTACTCTAGCTTTGAGGACCTAGAGAGCTACATGTGACCTTGAGGCTGCAGGTTCCTAACCCTTGTTCTAGAGACTGCATTGCATGCTCTACCTCTGACCATCTTCTTTCTATCTTGCCTGTCAGACCCAGCTTCTCAGGTTCACTCTGCTCTGAGTCTCATGGTCATACGATTTAGAGCTAGAGGGAACCTTAGGGATCCTCCAATTCAACTCCCTTGTTTTACAAAAAAGGAAACTGAGTCCCAGGGAGACAAAGTGATTTTTCGGAGGCCACACACAGTAGCAAGTTGCAGAAACCGTTTCTAAAACCAAGGCCCCTTAATGCTAAGTCAAGTACGCTTTCACACATGATTTGAATCTTAGATCCCGGTTCCCTTTAGCTCTGAGCCCTTCAAATTACTTCTAAATGCTTACAGAAAATGCTTTTGGGAGTTGGAACTGGGCATGCTCAGTAGGACAGGATTTTGGTTACAAAAGGGTCTGCTATGTAGCCTGTACTGGCTCCTCCCTCTCCCAGCCCAGAGGGAGGGAAAGAGGGGGTGGAGGGAAGGGGTGGAGGATGAGTCAAGCAGGAAAGTATGCTGGGGTCTGTGTGAGCAGAGGCACCGTTCTCCTCAGGCCTGGAGAGTGCCCTAGGACAGCCGTTCACTCTCCTCTTTTAGACAAAGCTGCCCAGGGCTTTGAGAGTTCCAGGGAGTAAAGGCTGGAGGGATGGAAACCAGACAGAAGTGGCCAATCCTGGCCTGGGCTACTCCCTTTGTGCAAGTCAGGCGGGCTCCTCTCTGAAAAGTTGCAAACAAGTCCTCTTGTGCAGGAGGGGAAAGAACTGGAGAGCGGGAGAAGGAAGGGGGAGGGCCGTGATTGATTCTCCCTGGAAGTTCGCTCATGGCCCAGGCTGACCTGCTACCGGGCACTTGCCTCCAGGACATCCAGTTGCAGTTCCGGACAGAGTCCCTGCAGGTGGTCCCTTCTCTCTTGGCTCCAGCAGTGACACTGGGGGTGGCCTTGGGCATCAGCTGCGCAGTTTTGCTTTGTGTCTACGTGATCAAGCCTCTGCTTCAGAAAAAGGTAGGTCTTCCCCTCTAAGACAACTTGTAACATTCTTCCCATCTCCGGCCCCCTCCCCATTCGAACTTGTGACCGTTCAAGCAAGGGCCACTCTCCCCGTGCGGAGACCCCCTCTACCAATGCAGATCTGTACCTTAGAGCTTCCTAGAGTTACTTGGGGCACGTAACTTAACTGGCTTGCTTAGTCACATAAGTAGTGTCTTTCAGGGCAGTGTTTGAACTGATGTCTTCCGGGTTCCTATTCCAATATACAATATTTTCTCAATTTTGGTAGTGATGTCAAAATGCCCTTCCCTGGCCCTGGTATCAAGAAGGAGTGAACAAAATATACTATTGTTATACGTCCTAGACCTAGAGCACAAAGAAAATTAGATCTGGAAGTCACCTTTTATATAATCTAGTTCAAACCCTTGATTTTATTAATGAGATAGTTGACACTAGCAAAGGAAAGAGGTAGTGGCTTATAGTGGAAAGAACACTTTGATTTGGAGCCAAAGTACCTGAGTTCAAATCTATATTCCTCTGCTCGTATCCAGTGTGACATTAGGGATCATCCATTTGGACCTTTAAGGTACCTTAGAGATCATGATTTTTAGCCTCTTCCTTCTATAGATACAGAAACGGAGTCCTAAGTCCTCTGGCTGGAAATCCAGTGCCCTATCTACTATACCTGACTGCCCTCCTCTCTGAAGACTTCACTTTCCTCCTCTATAAAATGAAAGCTATGGACCAGACAGATGATCTCCTAAATTCTCTGCCAGCTCTGATAATAACTGGCTTTTATAGGTATAGTACTTTAAGTCTGCAGAGCCTATAACATACTTCATCTCATTTGAGCCATTTTAAGGACCCAGTGAAGTGAATACAGAGGTTTTCCCCATTTTACAGATGAGGCAATTGAGAGTTAGAATAAGTTTCTTGCCCATAGGTATATCACAGGCAGAACTCAAGCTCACTTTTCTGCTAACCTTGAGTTACACTACTCTAGTCTAACTCCCAGCTCTTTGAGCCCATCAAAGTGACTAGCTTTTTTTTTAAGGCAATTGGGGTTAAGTGACTTGCCCAGGGTCACACAGCTAGTAAGTGTCTGAGGCTGGATTTGAATTCATGTCCTTCTGACTCTATGCTGCCAGTAGCCAACTCTTTAGTGTCATACTCAAGGAATAGAAACACAATCCCCTAATTCTTAGCCCTTTGTTATTTCCAATTCATTCCAATCCAATTCCAATTGTTATTCCATATCCTCAGTGTTGTGGGAGTAAATATTTAACAACTGGCTCAGTGAGCCAGACACACTTTTAAGTTTAATCTTGTTGTTCCATTGTTTCAGTTGTGTCTGACTCTTCTTGACCCATTTTTCTTGGTAAAAATCCTGGAGTGGGTTGCCATTTCCATCTTCAGCACATTTTACAGATGAGTAAATTGAGGCAAACAGGGTTAAGCGGCTTGCCCAGGGTGACACAGCTAGTAAGTGTCTGAGGCCGGATTTGAACTCATGAAGAGAAGTCTTCCTGACTCCAGATCCAGTGCTCTCTCTCCATTGCATCACCTACTGCCCCAAGTTTAATCTTCAGTATTACCATTTTCTCCATCACTAAGTCAAAACAATTAACAAAATAAATCAAGCCCTGATTTGTAGCTTGCCTATTTCCAAGGAATAAATGCCCACACAGAAGTTTAACAGTCAGCATGAGCCAGTCCAGGCTGGCTCTGGCATACATGGTTATCTTGAGTTTCAGAAAATGTGTATCTGGAGATAGCAACTCCCAAACCTCTCCTTGGTCTTCCCACCTTCTTAAGGCATTGTTCCATCTCTCTCCATTTTTTTTTAATTTTTTTAGGCAATTGGCGTTAAGTGACTTGCCCAGGGTTACACAGCTAGTGTCAAGTGTTTGGTCTGAGGTCGGATTTGAACTCAGGTCCTCCTGACTTCATGATCAGTGCTCTATCCACTGCGCCACCTAGGTGCCCAAAAGCTTTTTTACTTAAGATCCACCACCTTAAACCCAGATCGTTGATTGGCCCACAGTAGGTCCCAGGCCAAGCCCCACTCAGTCATTGTTTGGGCCTTGATTGGCTCAGAGTGAATGTAAGTAGCAATTGTTTCTATTTTGGCTAGAAACTCTGGGGGTCTTCCCCTGCCAGCCTGATTTTTTTTTTTGACTAGGTAAAAAAGGTCATTCTCTGCCTCACTTCTTACCTAGCCTTAATCACTGACTGGGTGTTGCCTCAATCAGAGACCAGTCAAAAACCTTAGCTTAAAAAAGCCCACTGCATCCAGAGCCATCTCAACCTACTGATCTGTATCTTGACACTAGACCCAGATGGCTGTGGAGGAGAAAGTGAGGCTGGTGACTTTGCACAGCCCTACCTCACTTAAATCCAATTCAGTTGGATGTCATGGCCTCGCCTTCTTGATGTCGTGGTTGTTTTCAAGAGCAAAGGACAAATAACAACAGCAACAATAAATGGCATAGTTACTTTACCCCACTTTCCTCACGTTACGTTCCAGCCAAACTTGACTTCTTTTCTCTTCTCCCATCTCTGTTTCTTTGTATAAGTCTTCTCCTGTGCTGTGATGCTGTCCCTACTCATCTCCAGATCTTAGGCTCCTTAGCTACCTTGAAAGCTCATTTCGGTGCTAACGCCTATTGGAGGGTGGCCTGCTGCCCCTAGCTGTTGGTACTCTGCCCTTCCTCAGACCTGATTATGTGTTCTCTTCTATGTGAATGTTGTATCTCCCCAGGCTGAATGTTAGTTTCTTGAGAGCAAGAACTCTTTTAAATTGTGCTTTTGTTCCCTTAGCGCATAGCACAGTGCTCATTAAGCTCTCATTGAGGTAGCACAGGGGAAGGAGCATCAGGCCTGGAGTCAGGAAGACTCATCTTTTTGTGTTCAAATCTGGCCTCGGACACTGAGTAACTGTGTGAGCCTATACAAGTCACTTCACCCTGTTTGCCTCAGTTTCCTCATCTGTAAAATGAGTTGGAGAAGCAAATGGCAAACCACTCCAGTATCTTTGCCAAGAAAACCCCAAATAGGGTCACAAAGAGTTGGGCACAACTGAATAACAATATAACTTTAAATAATTTTGTGTTTTCCTCCAATTACATGTAAAAACACTTTTTTACATTCATATTTTTTAAATTTTGAGTTCCAAATTCTTGCCCTCCCTTTCTTCCCTCCCCCCTCATTGAGAAGGCAAGCAGATTGATATAAGTTATACACGTTCAGTCATGCAAAGCGTATTTCCATGAACAGCATTACTTTCAGTGAACATCTAAAAGGCTTTGAATAGTTCACACTAGTAGCAAAGGAGTAACTTGTTTTTCCCTGATATATTATACAGAGGATTGATGGGTTGAAAATGAAAGAAAACTTGCCCTTGTAAGATCTTTTTTATTTAAAGTAGGCAAAGAAGAACGAGAAGTTAAATTTGTATGATGCTTTAACACCTACTTAATTATTTTTTGCCACAGCCCTGTGAGTAATGTAGTAGAAATAGTATTATTCCTATTTTACAGAAGAAAAAACTGAGGATCAGAGATGTAAATTGACTTGCCCAGAGTTGCACAGATATGACCCCATGTCTTCTCTGACTCCAGATCCGCTGTTCTTACCATTATACATCCCATGCTACTTCGCAGTTATTGCTGTGTACAATGTTCTCCAGCTTCTGCTCAGTTTACTTTGCATGAGTTCATAGAAGCCTTCACAGGTTTTTTTTTCTGAAACCATCTTGCTTGTCATTTCTTATAACACAATAGCATTCCATTACATTCGTATACCACTACTTGTTCAGCCATTCTCCAATGGATGGGCATCCCCTCAATTTCCAATTCTTTGCCACCACAAAAACAAAGCTACTATAAATATTTTTGTACAGATACATCCTTTTCCCTTTTCTTTGATCTCTTTGGGATGTAGACCTAGTAGTGCTATTGCTGGGCCAAAGGTTATGTAGAGTTTATAACCTTTTGGGCATAGTTCCGAATTGTTCTCCAGAACAGTTGGACTAGTTCATAGCTCCATCAATAATATATTAGTGTCCTGATTTTTCCACCTCCCCTCCAGCATTTTTTATTATCCTTTTCGGTCATGTTAGCTAATCTGATAGGTATGAAGTGGTATCTCAGCGTTGTTTTATTGTGCATTTCTCCAATCAGTTAGGATTAGAACATTTTTTTTCACGTGACTGTTGACAGCTTTGATTTCTTCTTCTGAGAACTGCGTGTTTGTATCTTTTGACCATTTATCAATTGGGGAGTGGCTCTTATTTTTATAAATTTGTCTCAGTTCTTTCAATATTTGAGGAATGAGACCTTTATTAAAGAAAATTGCTGTTAATTCCCACCCCCTCCAGTTTCCTGTTTTCTTTCTAATTATTGGTTGCATTAGTTTTGTTTGTATAAAACCATTTTAATTTCATGTAATAAAAATTATTCATTTTACTTCCCATGATTCTCTCTAACTCTTATTTGGCCATAAACTCTCAACTTATCCATAGATCTGACAGGTACATTTTTTTCCATACTTTACTAATTTAGTTATGATGTCACTTTTTATGTCCAAATAATTTATCCATTTTGATCTTATCTTAGCATATGGTGTCTATGCCTAGTTTCTTCCAAACTTTTATTGCTGTTTAGTCAGTCATTTAGCTGTGTCTGACTCTTTGTGACCCCATGTACCACAGCATGCCAGACCCTTCTGTCCTCTCTAAAAGATATCTCCCAAAGTCTATCCAAATTCGTGTTCATTGTTTCCATGACAATATTTATGCATCCTATATTCTGCCGTCCCCTTTTCTTTTTGCCTTCAATATTTCCCAATACCAGGGTCTTTTCCAATGAGCCTTGTCTTCTAATTATGTGACCAAAGTATTTAAGCTTCAGCTTGAGTATTTGACCTTTAGCTAATAGCCTGAATTAATTTCTTTAATGGTCTCTTTGATGGTACTGCTAGGCCACCTTCCTTCACATTTTTTTATTTTCATAGATTCCCTTTATATTCTTGACCTTTTGTTCTTCCAGATGTATCTTTTTACTTTTTACTTCTAACTCTGCAAAATATTCTTTTAGCAGCTTGATTGCTGTAGCACTGAGTAAGTAAATTAACTTAGGTAGAATTGTTATTTTTTTAGATTGGCTCAGCCTACTCATGAGCAATTATTATTTCTCCAGTCATTTAGATCTGCTTTTATTCACGTGAAGAATGTTTTATAATTGCGTTAAAGTAGTTCCTGGGTTTGTCTTGGTAGGTTAACTCCCAAGTATTTTATATTGTCTGCAGTTATTTTTAAACAGAGTTTCTTTTTTTGTCTCTTACTGGGTTTTGTTAGAAGTTTATAGAAATGCTGGTGATTTATATGGGTTTATTTTATATCCTGAAACTTGGCTAAAGTTGTTAATTTCAACTAATGTTTTGGGTTTTTTTTAGTTGATTGTCTACGGTTCTCTTAGTATACCATTGTTATCATCTGCAAAGAGTGATAGCTTTGTTTCTTTGTTTACTATTTTCATTCCCCAATGTCTTTTTTTAAGTATTATTGTCATAGCTAGAATTTCTAATACAATATTAAATAATAGTGGTAATAATGGATATCCTTGTTTCACCCCTGATCTTATTGAGAAGGCTTCAAGATTATCCCCATTACAGATAATGAGTGCTCTTGGTTTTAGAAAGATATTACTCATCATTTTAAAAAAGGTTCCATTGATTCTTATGCTTTCTAGAGTTTTTAAAAGGAATGGATGCTGTGTTTTGTCAAAAGCTTTTTCTGCATCTATTGATATGGGTAATTATACTTAAATTTTTCCTAATGTTGAACCAACCATGCATTCCTAGTATAAATCCTACCTGGTCATAGTGTATGATTTTTGTGATATATTGCAGTATTCTCCTTGCCGATATTTTAATTGAACATTTTGCTTCACTACTCATTAAAGAAATTTGTCTGTAGTTTTCTTTATCTGTTTTTGTTTCCCTGGTTTAGATATCAAAACAATATTTGTTTCATAAAAAATAGTAGTAAATAATTTATACAATATTGGGATTGATTATTCTTTAGAAGTTTGGTAGAATTCACTTATAAATATAGCTGTTTGAAGTATTTTCTCTTCGACCTGGGAGCTCTGGAATTTGGTTAAAATATTCTTGGGAATTTTCATTTTGGGATCCTTTTCAGGAGGTAATTGTTAGATTCTTTCTCATTTCTATTTTATTCTCTAGTTCTAGGATATTGTTTTCCTTTATATTTTCTTGAAATATAATCTCTAGGTTCCTTCTTTAATCATGGCTTTCAGTAATCCACTAATTCTTAAATTGTCTCTCCTTCATCTGTTTTCTGGGTCAGTTGTTTTTCCAGTGAGATACTTCATGTTTCTTCTGTTTTTTTCCACTCTTTTTGCTTTGTTTTATTATATCTTGCTACTTTATGGCGTCATTAGCTTTCACTTGCCCGCTTCTAATTATTAAGGAATTATTTTCTTAGTGAGCCTTTGTACCTCTTTCCATTTGGCTAATTCTACTTTTTAGGGAGTCATTTTCATCAGTGAAGTTTTGTGCCTCTTTTTCCATTTAGTCAATTCTGTTTTCTAAGGTGTTTTTTTTTTCAGTATTTTTTGATACCTTTTTTTTTACCAAGCTGTTCATTGTCTTTCCAGAATTTTCTTCCCTTGCTCTCATTTCTTTGCCTAATTTTCCTCTACCATTCTTATTTGATTTTAAAAATCATTTTTTAGCACTTAGAGGAATTCTTATTGGGCTTATGTCCAATTCACATTTTTTTTTTCTTTGTAGCATTGCTTATATGCTTATAGCTATTTTGACTTCTTTGTTTTCTTCAGAGTTGCTGTCTTGATCTTCTCTGTCATCATAGTGGCTTTATGGTCAGGTTCTTTTTTGTTATTGTTGTTTGCTCATTTTTCTAGCCTATTTCTTGACTTTGAATTTATGGTAAAGTTGGGCTGTCTTCAAAGTAGGGGAGGGAGTTTGAGGGAATGGTTACTATCCCAAGCTTCAGGCATTTTGACACTGCTGTTTTCAGAGACAGTCTTGGGCATTTCGAAGTTTTTGGTTTTTCCAAGGTGATTTGATCTGAGGAGAGGTGTAGACACTGCTCTCTTGTCTGCACCATGGTTCTCACTTAGAAAGGGCTCTTGATCCCTTGGATTGCAATTGATAGGGCTCCTCAGGTCCCCTGCTCCCTCTTGTCCAAAAGTGTTCTTCTCTGCCCTTGAATTATGACCCAGAAGTGGGTATGCACCACTTATATGTTGCCAAAAAACATCTGGTCCTATGTCCAGTGCTAGCACAAGGGTCCCCTGTAATCTTCTTCTCATCAATTGTTAGGTCCCCTCACCATATTTTGACTTGAGAAGTCCTGAAACCTAGTCTTACCCCTGGTGTTTCATCCATGTGGGCTCTTCCTTCATGCCACAGATATCTCTCTTTCCTAAATTGTCTTGGGCTAGAAGAATATCTCACCTTAATCTTTTGCTGGTTCTACCACCCCAGAATTTTATTTGAGGTGTTATTTTAAATTTGTTTGAAGGGGAATGTTGGGAGAGCTCAGCTAAGTGCTTCCTCTGTGCTGCCATCTTGACCATATCTCCAGGAGTAACTCCATGTCTTTTCCTGATATTTCTTTTTTTAAATTTAATATCATTTGCTTTTTGCCTCAAAATATTCCTTTCCCTTCCCTTCGAGAGAACCATCCTTTGTAGCAAAGAACAGAAGAGACACAGAGGAAAATATCAACTCTTTCACATAAGAAACCATTACGTACCCTGAATCTGACCATATATAATGTTTCACACCTGTAGCCCCCCACCTAGGCAAAGAAAGGAAAGACTTTTCTCATCTCTTTTTCAAGGTCAAATTTCTTCATTTTAATTATAGAATTTTCAATTCTTATATTCCTATCATAGATATAAAGAAAAAATGTATCATGAAAGATATTTTATTATTCTTTAACTCTCCACCCCACAACAAAAAAGAAATGCTTATAATCTTTAAGTGGCATAAACTAACAAATATGGTGTAAGCTTCAGGATTGAGCAGCTGTAAATCACAGGAAAGATTCTTTCTTCTTTTCAATGAATTGTGTTTTTCTTTTGGGGTTTTTAGAAAGATGATTCCCAAAGTCTCCTCAAAAACCTGGATGCTGATGTACATCTTTATGAAACTGACTCACTACCAAGAGAGAAGAGAAAGGAAGACCAAACACCCATGGAAGAGGGAATTCTTGGTGTAAGTCTTTTTCATTTATGGAAGTATATAATACATCTCCAATGTATAGCCTGACGTCTTATAGATTATTAAAGAAATATCTGTCAGAGAAAATTTAAAACGAAATGAATTAGACTTTTCCCTTCTGATAGGGCATTTCTGGAAGGTATTTCAACTCTTTCAAGTGACTGGAATAGTCCTTAGCGAATGGTTTCTTAAATGTACTCCTTTTCTTGTGGAATTGATTTTATACTTGCTCCCTATTAGGAGGGGGAAAAAATAAAATCAAATAAAACTAAAGCAAATCATTAATCATTTAAGCCTTGATTACTCAAAATGATACAAATTCTGACTTTTACATAATTATTGCCAACAAATAGCATTTTTAGTACCCACTCTAAACCTGCTAAGTCAGATGATATATATAATATAAATTAGTCTGACACCTGAGACTTTTTTCTGTAAATCTTATCTTTCTCTAGCAAAATTCTAGGAGAGATTATTAAATGGATAGTTTATAAGTACTCATAAAGTTAAGTGGTGATCATTAGGAGCCATCATAGGTTCAAGAACAAGTCATGCCTAATTAAGCTCATTTCCTTCTTCAGCAAATCAGCAGAATGCCTTAAGCAGAGGATACCTGGATTTCAGGGAAAATTGCTTTCTCTCTTAATAATATATGAGTTGGATGACGGTATAGTTAGGTGGCTTCACAACTTAAAAGAGCAGTGGTCATTGGTTTGATATCAGTCTAGAGGAAGGTCTACAGTAGAATGATACAGAGGATAGTTCTTGGGTAAACTTGCATTAGGTAACTGTGGGAAAGTCACAACCTCTGGGACTCAGAGGCAGCTAGATGTCACAGTGGATAGAGCATCTGGGGTCAGGAAGACCTGAGTTCAAATCTGGCTTCAGACACTTACTAGCTATGTGACCCATGGTGAGTTACGAAATTTCTGTCTCAGTTTCCTCATATATAAGACAAGCATAATAATAACACTCACATAAATGTTGGAGACGATGTGGGAAAATTGGAACACTAATGCATTGTTGATGGAGTTGTGAACTGATCCAACCATTCTAGAGAGCAATTTGGAACTATGCCCAAAGGGCTATAAAACTGTGCATACCCTTTGATCCAGCAATACCACTTCTAGGTCTATATCCCAAAGAGATCATAAAAACGGGAAAAGGACCCACATATACAAAAATACTTATAGCAGCTCTTTTTGTGGTGGCCAAGAATTGGAAATTGAGGGGATAATGCCCATTAATTGGGAATGTCTGAAAGAGCTGTGTTATATGAATGTAATGGAATACTATTGTGCTGTAAGAAATGATGAGCAGGTGGACTTTAGAAAACCCTGGAAAAACTTATATGAATTGTTGCAGAGTGAAGTGAGCAGAACCAGGAGAACATTGTACACAGTAACAGCCACACTGTGTGATGACTAACTTTGATAGACTTAGCCCTTCTCAGCAATGCAAGGATCTAAGACAACTCCAAAGGACTCACGATGGAAAAAGCCATCCACATTCAGAGAAAGAATTTAGGAGTCTGAATGCAGATGGAAGCGTACTATCTGCTCTTCTTTTCTTTTGTTGTTTTGTTTTGTTGCTTCTTTCTCGTGGTTCCTCCCATTGTTTCTAATTCTTCTTTACGTCATGACTAATGTGAAAATATGCTTAATATGAACTTATAAGTAGAGCCTATATCAGATTGCACACCATCTTGGGGAGTGAGGAGAAGAGGAAGGGGGAGAAAATTTAAAGCTCAAAATCTTATGGAAGTGAATGTTGAAAACTGAAAATTAATAAATAAATTGTTTTTAAAAAGAAAAAAATAATGATAACACTCATATTGTAAGACAGGGATAACATTAACGCCTACCTTTCGGGGTCATTTTGAGGATCAAATAGGAAATTTTTAAAGTGCTTTAGCACAGTGCTTCGCATATAGTAGGGTGCTATAGAAATGCTACTACTACCTTATTATTAATGGGACAAATTTAATATGGTAAAATTTAATAGAGATACATATATAATCTTTTACTTAGGTGTAAACAATAATAATTGTTTCAAGTCAGCCTGACAGGGATCAATCCATGAGGTAACAAGGAGCTAGGTTCTAGTCCTACCTAAGACATATGCTGGTTGCATGAGCTTGGATGCTTGTTAACTGACTTAACCCTACAGTGCCTCAGGAAATTCTCCGAGGGTTTCTGTTTCAGAGCAGCTGTGGATGGCATTGCTCTAGTTAAAAATATGTATGAAGTCCTTCATTTAGGTAAAAAATAAAATAATTGAATGAGTGGCAAATGGGAAGGGCATGGCTTAAAAGCAGCTCATATTAGGAAAAAAAAGGCTTAGGTATGACAAGCTCAATATGCGTCAACAGTGTCCAGTAAAGAGGCCCAAGAGGGCTCAAGAAAGTGTTTTACCCAGGAAGCTCTAAGTTCAGTCTTATTTTAGACACTTACTAGATTGTGAGCAAGTCACTTAAAACTCTCTGATCCTCAGAGGCAGCCAGGTGGTACATTGGATTGACCACTGGACCTGGTGTCAGCAAGAGTTGAGGTCAAATTTAGCCTTTGACACTTAGTGGCTGTAAGACTCTGGACAAGTCACTTAACTCCTGTCTACCTCAGTTTCCTCTACTATAAATGTTAAATTTATATTATTAGATTTAAATATTATATGTTATATATTAAATAAAGGTTAATAATAGCACCTAACTTCCAGGTTTGTTGTGAGGATCAAATGAGATAATATTTTTAAAGTAAATAGCACAGTGACTGGCACATAGTAGGCTCTTAAAAAGTTTTCTTCCTCAGTTTCCTCATATCTACAATGAGGATTTTGTATTCAATAGCCCCATAAGATCCCTGCCAGCTCTAAACCTATGATTCTTTAGGACATCAGTTCAAATCTTTCCAATGACACTGTTAGCTGTATGACCGTGAAGAAATCATTTAACCATTCTCAGCCTCAGGTTCTTCATCTAAAAAATAGGGTAATAAAGCCTATAAAGTACCTACTTCACAGGGCTGCTCTGAGGCTTATATGTAAGGTGATTTGTAAACCTTAAAGCACTATCAGGTAGCCTGGAAAGTTTGTAAGGCACCTTCTGAGCTTGAGGTTCCTCCTAACTCGTAGTGAGTTCATAAATGAATTACTGACCTCGGCCTGAACCACAGCAAGGTTGAATAGGCTACCTTGAGGGGTTTTTTTTAGAAGGGATTTCTAATCTGTAAGCTATTTATTTTCCCCTAAGAACAACTCCTCAGTAGTGAGCTAATCATTGCAGGACATAAAGTGAAAGGTCTCTGCAGGTTCCTAGGGACTGATTTACAAAAATGGTAGTGATTTCCCCTTTCAGAATTCATAACTAAAATGTGGCCCTAAAAATTAGGGGCAGGATGAGATTCACTGGAATTCCGTTAGTACCCTCAAGAATGCATCAGTCAACATTATCTTCACATCCTGCTGTTCCTTTGAACTAAGGCTGTTTTTATGATTCACTTGGAAACTTCAACAGATCCTGATGTCATTTCATTGGTGACCTTCACTGGTGCAGCTTACAGGCCCTGATAGGTAACACAGCCCTGAACCTGGAGTCAGAGAGGCCTCAGTTCGAATTCCAGCCCAGATAATTACCAGTTGTATAACCCCGGCTGACTCTCCCAGTTTCCTCCTCTGTAAGGTGAGGGGATTGAACCAGACGCCAGTAAGTTTTCTTCCATTCCGATCTATGATCCTCTGATGCCTCTTTGCTTTCCTAACAGAAAAGTTTTAGCCACATCAAAGGAATGCTGTGATATAATCTCAGTTTTCTATGACCAATTAGTTGCTTATTTATTTATTTTTTTCATTTTTTTTTCTGGAAAAGGAGGGCATATTCTTTTTGTGGAAATCCCACACTCACAATGCACACAGACTTAACCATCCGATTTACAAAATTGCTTTTTAAAAAACTGCATTTACATCCTAACCAGTTTTCTTAGAAATCATATTACTTATGCAAAAAAGCTTTTAGGAGCTGATGAACATTGAAATGTAGTCTGAAGTAGTATGGTTTATTGAGAAGGGCATTGAACTTAGAGACAGAATACCTAGGTTCAAAGTCCAGTTTGTACTACTGTGTGACCCTTAGACACATCACCTCTCTCTAGGCCTCATTTTCCATCTGCAAAATGTGCTTAATAATCCCTGTCCTTTTCACACACACATGCATATATACATACATTCCTACATATATATTTATATACACACATACATATATATATACACATACACATACACACACACACACACACACACACATACACATATGTTTATGTACTAAGCAGTTAGGTGGTGCAGTGCATAGAGTGCCAGGCCTGGAGTCAGGACAACTCATATTCCTGAGTCTAAATCTGGCTTCAGACACTTACTAGCTGTGTGACCTTGGGCAAGTCACTTAACTCTGTTTATCGGTTTCCTCATCTGTAAAATGAGCTGGAGAAGGAAATGGCAAACCGTTCCGGTACGTTTGCCAAGAAAACCCCAAATGGGACCATGAAGAATCAGACAGAACTAAAATGACTGAGCAATATATACATACTACATTTATATATACACACACATACATACACATATACACACACACACACACACACATATATATATATATATATATATACACAATATATACATGCATATATCTAAAAATATCTGTACACAGACATGTATAGATATGTGACTGTCTGTCAATATGTATTTGGACACAGCCAATGCAGAAATTTATGCTGGACTATACATGTTTGTAATGGATTTTGTTTTTCTTACTTTCTCTGCGTGTGTGTTGGGGAAGGGGGAGGTAGGAGAGAAAATGCAAGTGTGAGAATAAAATAACATTGAATTTCTAAAAGTAATCCCTATTCTACCTAACTCACAGGCTGATGGTCAAATGAGATGATATAATATAGCCATGAATCACTATATTAAATATGCATCAAGTGATCATAATAATTGTCAATATAAACAAAATGTTTACTTTGATTCAACAAATGTATATTAATTACCCATTTTGTCTGAAATTCTCTTCTAGAAACCAGTGAGGTGAAAGAGTCTCTCTTTATTAATAAGTTTACAGATTTCAAGGAAAAGAGACAAAGACAAAATCATCTTAAGCTAAATTTATCTATACAAGAGGTTCTTAACCTCTTTTTTCTTTTCTTTTCTTTTTTTTTTTTGACTATTGTTTTTCCATGAACCCCTTTACAGGTCTGGTGAAACCTATGGATCCCTTCTCAGAAAAAAAAAAATTAAGTGCATAAAATAAAATATGTAGGATTACATAGGAAACCAGTTCTATTGAAATCATTATCAAAATATATATAAGTTCACAGACACCTAGGTAAGAAGCCCTGATATAGACAAAGCAGGTGAACATACTTCCTCATATAAGAAGCGCACATCTCCCAAAATCGCACAATCACATCATCTGAGAGTCTGAAGGGACCTCAGTGGCCATGTAGTCCAACACAGACATCTGTTTCTGCTTCACTGCCAACTTCTGGGTTCTCATCTTTGAAGCAAAGCCACACACATAATCATAACTATTCCCTGAAAATGGACCATCCAGTTATAGCCAAAACCACCAGCTGGCTCACCACACATCTTAGAGGCTGTATAGTTTTACATTGAGTTAGACAAAAGGCCATTTAGAAATGCTCTCACCTTGAATGGGTCAAATGAGGTTAAATATGATTTGGGAGAAATCCTTTGAGGCGAACCCAAACTGATGTATATCATTCCTTTACTCTACCTGTCTCCATCTGCATATCCCCTCTCCTGCTGTAGCTCAAGAGGCTGATCTATCAAGCCTGTATCGCCTTGTTGTCAGTGAGTCTCTATTTTCCAGCTTCTATCCAGGCCACAAAAATAATTATATTCATAGTTTTCAGTTGGAATAGCTTTCTAAAACCACTTTGTAGCAAGTTTCAGTCATATTATATTTTTTTGTTTTGTTTTTCCCATCCAGCTAAGTAAAAGAACCAGTAAGACTCCTTGGGCTTGGGCCTTGGGCACAGCAGAATAACAATACTACTACTACTGCTAATAATGATGATGATGATGATGATGATGATGATGATGATGATAAATTTAAATGGAATAATAGCCAAAAGAAAATAATGGACAGACAAGATGCCATGCCAATCTAGAGACATGTCTTTAATGATATTCTTTAGTAATATTTGTAGGGAAGTTCTGGATAGTTGAAGTTTTCTTCTGATGGTATTTGATAACTTGAGCCAGAGTGATTTCAGTTTTGAGTGAGCAGGTGGCCTGGCTTGGAAGAAGGTGTTGCTTCAGCTGGATTCTGATTTCTATGAAACACACAAAACAAGGCAAGCGTGGAGAATGTCATTGGCACTGAGAATGCTCCCTTGAATGCATACTGCCTATTTTTAATATACTGTTGTCTCTAGGTAGCATTTTTAAATGCCTTAGAAATGAGCAAACGGTCATCAACAAACCCAGATGGTGGTGTTACTATTGAATCTACTGATGGTCTAAAGGGAGGTGAGCTTCAGCTCATTAGCAGGCAGACCATTACATCCACAACAGTCAGAGCATGAGGGAATGCAGGATCTGAGAGCTGGCAGGGATCACAAAGGGTATCTAATCCAACCTTTTCCCGAACATTCTCTTCTCTTACTACCCCTCAGTGGCCCTTGAGATCTGATTCTGTTAGAGATGATATTCTCCATAGTCTACACCATCCAAACCCCTATGTGAACAGGGGTTTATAACATCCCTTTATAACATCCTCAGTAGCTAGGCTCAGCTTGAAGACCTTGGTGATAGGGATCCCACCTCATTCCAAGGCAGCGCAGGTAGCAGATTGGCTCTGCATAACTCACCAATCTTAAAAGGTGTGTTGATTTGTATTAAAGCAGGCAAAGGGAGTTGAATGCTTGTATTTTAATATATCAGTTGTAATTAGTTTGGATAAGCACAGGGATTCTCACATTGAGTTAGACACAAGAGGGACAAAAGTCAGATTTTGACTCTAAGTTGTGTGTCTCCAACAGTGTCTCTGTATAGCTCTTGATTGAGGAAGGCAGCACTGTATGGTGTCGACAAAAATAACTCTGAACTGTGACATCTTGGGTACTTTGATTTACCTCTCTGGGTCTCAGTTTCCTTGTCAGTAAAAACAGAGGGTTAGACTAGAAATCAGGGGTAGGGAACCTGTGGCCTCGAGGCCACATATGGCCCTCTAGGTCCTCAAGTGTGGCCCTTTGACCATATCCAAACTTCACAGAACAAATCCCCTTCATAAAAGGATCCGTTCTGTAAAACTTGGACTCAGTGAGAAGGCCACACCCGAGGACCTAGAAGGCCACATGTGGCCTCAAGGATAATAATGTGTACATTGCATGCCTCCATAGGGTTGTTGTAAGGAAGGCACTTTTTAAAATGAAAATGTTACATGAAGAGAATTTTTATGATTCTCAGTCTCAGTAGTAATATTTGCTGAGGTTCAAGATCACTTTTAGCTCTAACATTCCATTTCCTACACTCTCAGATCTCTTTCACCTGCAACAAAATTTTCTATGTTCTGTTCAAGCTCTGTTTTGTGATATTATCATTGATTCATTGGTGTAATCCTCACGGAACATTTAGTTCCATCAGACTGAGAAATCACAAAATGAGAGGGTGTTCTATACAAGGTTCCCCAAAGTCAGTACAGTTTGGGTTATAAATGCTTACTCTCCCTCCCTCCCTCTCTGCCTTCCTTCATTCCATCCTTCCTTCCTTTTTTCCTCCCTCCCTCCCTTTCTTCCTCTCTCCTTCCCCTTCTTTCCTTCTTCCTTCTTTCCTCCCTCCCTTCCTTCCTTCCTTCCTTCCTTCCTAGTTTAAGATTGCACTAGTACTTTTGAAGCACCCTATATAAATATTATTGTGGATTATTTCTTTTGTTATTCTTTCTTTCCTTATCATTTATTTGACATTCTCTACACATATTTCTCCTTTCCATAAGAGCATGTGATTATAATGGTAATTGTATGTGTCTTTTTAACCAAGGTTTTCCCTGTCATAACATAACTCTGAAAATGAGACAAAGGATGTGTCCCCATTTTTTGATAAATTATTTAAAAAACACTTCCTGGGCCAGTTGTAAATGTTTGTTTGGACAGCCCCTTTATCTGTTCAATTCCTCAAATATGTAAGTCAGAATAAGGTCTGGCATTTTGCAAATACATGTCAGCACATGCATTCTCTCACTGAAAGCTTCAAATGCTGTTTTGTTCCTTTTTTTGTGGCTCAGGAATATGAGTCACCATTCAACAGTAACATCGCAGCATTCGCATTGAAGGCAAAAGTGGTCTATCCCATCAATCAAAAATTTAGGGTAAGTATTCAGAACATTATTCTATAGAACCCATTAGTTTATAAATAAGCATTGATCAAATGCTTACTATTTGCCAGGCACTATCTTGGGCATTGGTTATGCAAAACTAAAATGAGACAGTACCTAACCTTGAGGATAGATGTAAAAATAGAAATATATTGATATCGATATCAATATCAATACTGATCAAGACTGATCAATAGAGTGAGATAAAGTTATATGCAGAAAAAAGCAAAATTAGAAACGATGATTTTATAGGAAAGACATTAGTTGTTGGGAGGCAGGGATAAAGGAAGGCTTCATGTAGGAGATTGTGCTTGAGCTGTGCCTTTCAAAGCCATAAATAAGGACTCTAAGAAATGGGAATGAAGAAGAATTATATTCCAGGAATGTTGCACAGTCAGTACAAAGGCACAAAAAGCCATGGAGGGCCATGTAGGAGAAACAGTAAGACAGATAGATTGGCTGGACCATAGTGTGTGTAAATGGCAGTATTGTGTGATTAGATTGGAAAGGTCAACTGGACTTAGGTGGTGAAGAGCTTTAAATGTCCAGTTTATGTTTGATCCTACAAGAGACAGTGGGCCACTGGAAATAAGTGAATAGGACTGTGACGTGGTCTGAGCTGTGCTCAGGAAAATCACTTTGGAAGCTGTGTTGAGAATGGGTGGGGTGAGGAGAGACTTCACACAGAGACCAATTAGGAAATTATTGTAATAGTCCGGGCAAGAGGTGATAAGGACTCAAACTAGAATGATGGATAAGTGAATAGAGAAGCACAGGCAGATACCAAAGATATTATATCAATCAGTCAGTTAACAAGCATTTATTAAGCACTTTCTACATGCCAGGCACTGTGCTGAGTGCCCAGAATATAAGTGCAAGCAAAATAGAAAGACACTCCCTGCCCTCAAGGACTTTACACTCTACTGGAGAAAGACAATGCTTTAAAAAAAAAACTGCTGAAATTTGAGATGGGGAGGTTCTTAAGTGGGACATGGTGGCAAGTCTGGAGTTAGAAGTAGAGCTAGGAGAAGAGTGAAGGATGGTCGGTCTGAGCCTTTCCCCAAAATGGAGGGACTCGTCAATGGGAGAAAAAGGTCATAGGAATGAAGGTGAGAAGGCATTTGAGACATGATGGCAAAGTTCAGATAATCAGGACTCAGCAAACTTCGATGGTATCATTGCCCATTTTTGTACCACGTATGGCCTACGAAGAGGAATAGATGATGATGAGTACATAAGAGAGGTACATAAAAGGGACATAGTGTCATTCCAGGCCTTGGGCAGAAAGAAGATAGGACAGGCCAAGAGAGGCCAGGTTCAGGACCTTGTTCAGAGAAGAGGAATCTGATGGACAAAAGGTATCTAGACCACAAGTATAGACACCAGTTAAGAACTAGGAAAAGAAGCACCAGATAACTGAGATCCATGAATTAAATACAGTAAGAGAGGACAAGCAGCCCAAGACCTTCATGTTAGTCTTGCATAAATGCTGTTTACCCTGTGCTCTGGTTTTCTGCCCCTTCCTGAGTGGACAAGGACTAGCAGATCTGGTAGGCAGAGAAAGACAGAGCTCCTCAGATGCTGGCTTCTCTTGAGTCTATCGAAAGTAGAAAAGGTTCAGCCATCCCAGAGAGTTCTAACACAGGACGGTTCGTGGAATATCTCAATTCGAACTCTAACGAGATTTTACTGTGTTTGCAAATAGAAACATAGAAAAAAAAGTATCAGAAAGTCCAATTTATTCCTCTTGAATTTAACAAGCTTTAGTTTTTGTATTCGCCTAACATGAGGCCCCCAAGAAGACCTGCAATTTAGAGAAGACTCAGTACCTATCTTCATGGAGCTCAGAGGCTAGTAGGGAGTTAAGGTAGCAACAGTAATATCTACAGTTGACAGCATCAGAGGACAAGTTCAGTAGAAAGACATCTTACCCTATATGAGGCAGGGTAAGATGGTCATTAGCAAGAGGAGAGATCAGAGGAAGATTCCTGAGGGAAATAGCATTTGTTCTAGGCTTTAAAAGATGTGTAAGAATTCAGCAGGTGAAGAGGAGGTAGGAAGCCATTGTAGTCATGGCACATGGAATTGCCTGAGGAAAGACATGGAAACCAAGTACAGAATCTATCCAGGGGACATCAGTTTTTCAGTCTGGCCGAAGCACGGTGTGTACAAGTGAGTGGTATAAGATAAATCTGGAAGGTAGGGTAGAAATGGTGGTAATAACGGCTTTAAATGCCAGGCAAAGATATCTGTCTATATTTTACAGTTAACTTATATTGCCCAGTAGTTTATTTTAAAAATATTGGAACTTTGTCTTCATGATAAAAAAAAAAACAACTAACCAATTTGGTCAACTCAAGGAGAAACTATTAGCCCAATTATGTAATCATATTTGCTAGTTGCTTCAGTCCCATCAGTAGTACTATACAAATGCAGCTTGAAAGCCAAGGATTGAGAATGCAGTTAATAACAAACTGATTACTTCCTATCTTGTGCTACATTGATTAATGGAGAGTTTTTTTTCCTTTTCTGCTATCATAGCCTCTTGCAGATGGATCGTCTAATCCATCTTTGCATGAAAATTCAAAACAGACAATTTTGCCTAATCAAATGATGGAAGTTTCTCCTTCAAGTAGTCTCGGATCCCTCAGCCAGGGAGACAAAGAAGACTGCAGTTCTTCTACCAGCATACATTCTGCCATTAGTGATGACCGATTCCATGATAGAACCTTTCTTAAGGTGAATTCTTTCCCAGAGGTGCTGATCTGTGAAAGGTAAGGACTAGGTTATAATATTCTAGAGAAAGTTATACTTTTGGGTATAGGTCTTCTGCCCTACCTGATACGGTCACATAAGAACACTGTGGTTTTATCGGTGAAGTCAGGCAGTGGAGAGAATGCTGGGCCTGGAGTCAGAAGACTCCTCTTCCCAAGTTCAAATCTGTCCTCAGGCACTTACTAGCTGTGTGACCCTGCAAAAGTCACTTACCCCCATTTGCCTCAGTTTCCATCTGTAAAATGAACCAGAGAAGAAAATGGCAAACCACTCCAGCATCTTTGTCAAGAAAACCCCAAATGGGGTCATGTAGAGCTGGACATGACTAAAATGACTGAACAAAAAAATCCATGAAGTATTCATGTTGTTATTACTATTATTAAAATATATGATACTTCATTTACATAGTTTAATACATAGAATTTATGTAGCACCTTAATTTTGAAAAGCATTTTACAGACATCATCTCATTTTATCTTCTCGATAGCCCTTGTAGTATTCCTCTTTTAAGGATGAGGAAACTGAAGCAAGCAGAAGTTAGATGACTTGCCCAGAATCACACAGATAGGAAGTGAGATGTGTGAGGCTAGATTTGAACTCCAGTCTTCCTAAGTATCACTTTATTCACTGCACCCACCTAGCTGCTTCAGGTTTATGTGAGTCTCTTCATACAATGTTACTTGTGATAAATACTTTTTTGATAGTGGTGATGATGGTGATGCTAATGATGGCCCCTTACATATGTGCAGAGGTTTGGGATTGGAATGACTGCACAATCCCTGCCTTCCAACAGCTCTTTGAGGCAGGTGGTACAGGAAACATCATCATCATTTTGCAAATGTCAAAACCATGGCACAGAGAAAGGAAACAACCTGCCTTGGATTGCGATACTCATGACTAGCAGAGCCAAAATCAGAATTCAGATGTTCTAATTCCAGACCAGGTGCTCTGGTTCTGATCTAATAAGAACAACAAAAAGGTAATCAGTATAGGACAGGAAATTTTGGCTTAGAACAAGAAAGAAATTTATAAAATTTAGAGCTGTTTAAAAATAGAAAATGCTACCTCTCAAAGCAATTACTTCTTTATCATTGCAGTTCTTCAGGAAGATACCAAATCATCTCTTGTTTGGGATGTTGGAGATGAGATTTCTGCTTCAAATAGAAGCTGATTTTGCTCCCAACTCTAGGCTATGCAAAGTGACATACCTAATAAATCCAATGATTAGGCACATCATAGATTGTAGCATATTTTCACTGAAAGTGATCAAGTGCGATATACTTGAGTCAGCTGGTCTGACACCTTTTTCTTTCTTTCCTTTTGTCTTTTTTTTTTTTGGTGGGGGCCTCTCCTACCCCGCTTATCTCCCATTTAAAAACAAAAACCTTATAATGAATATGCATAGTCAAACAAAATAAATTTTCACATTTCCATTTCCAAAACTATATAGTTTATCTTTTAATCCTTTACCTCATGATTGGATAACATTCTTAAGCATCTTTCTTCAGGAATTGTGATTGATCTTTGTGTTAACCAGGGATCTCACATCTTTTAAAGTTGTTTCCCTTGTGTTGTTGTGGTTATTGTATAAATTGTTATCCTAATTCTGCTCACTTCACTTTGTATAAGTTTACACAAGGGCTTCCCAGATTTATCTGAAACCGTCCCTTTCACAATTTCCTGTAATGCAACAATATCCTATCATATTCCTAATTTGTTCAGCCATTTCTCAATTGCTGGACATCCCCTTAAAGAAAAAGACGTGCTGTAAATATCTTTTTACATGTGTATGCTTTTCATCTTGAAGATAACATAGACCTTTCAGCATTATCTCTGGTTCAAAGGATATGTGTGCTGACTTTTGGGATGTAAGATCAGATTGTTTTCAAGAATGACTTGGCCAGTTCACAATTCCACCATCAGTTTCTCCACAGCCCCTCTAATTTTCATCATTACCCCTCTTTTTGTCAGCTTTGCCAATCTGATGGGTATGGGGTAGAACCTCAGATTTCTTTAATTTACACTTCTCTAACTGTTAATAATTTGGATCTTTCTTTCATGAAGTTGTTAATACCTTGGATTTTTTCCTTTGAAAAGTACCTTATTTATAACCTTTGATAATTTTATTGAGAAGTGGTTCTTCTTCTAATCTTTTCCGTTTATATTTTGAATATGAGTTCTTTATCAGAGGAACATAGCAGTGAGTTTTAGAGAGGGGTATTTTCTCAGCGTTTCTCTACACCCAAGCTCAGTCATTATAATAGCATAACATTCAGGTTAATTTGTTTTATTGTTCTGTCCATTTATATTGTTAATATATTAATATATTGTAATTATTGTGTATATTATTGCATTGTTTATTTTTTATATGTTCACTTCTATGATGCTCAACTTGCCATGTTCCTAATTCTAGCTCTCTTATTGTTCTATGTTTGCCTCAGTACTCCCTTATTCTCTGTTATATAATCTCTAAGTTCCTTTCTTCAACAAGCTTCTCCAGCATATAATGTCTTATCACTCCAGGGATAACAATTCCTAGCTTGGCTTCCAGATAATTTTCAGCCTGACTTAGAAGTACACAATCCTGGCAGTAGATAACTTTTCTCCCATCTCTTAGAAATTTTGTCCTTAGCCTACTCTTCACTGAACATCCAATACTTCTCATTCCTTACTACTTTGTCACTATGAATGAAAAGCTATAGCTTGGTAATCCTGTCCATACATTCCCCACATTGGATTCTCTCCTTTTCTCTTTCTCAGGCCTTCTTTCTCCTCCTTCCTTTTTTTTTCCAAAGTTCAACCACAGATATAATTTTCAAATGTTTCTTTTCTAGGGCTGATATTTTTTAGACATTGTTAATATGATATCCATTTCATTCTTTCATTTGCAGACTGCACATTCTTGGATGTCATTTCATAATGATCAAGACCTTTACATTTTTAAATTTTTTTATTAATTTATTTTGATTTATTAACAACCACTTCCATAAGCTTTTGAGTTTTAAATTTTTCTCCCCCTCCCTCCCCACTTTCCTCCCCAAGATGGCACACAATCTGATATAGGCTATACATATATGTTCCTATTAAATATATTTTCACATTACTCATGTTTTAAGGAAGAATTAGAATCAACAGGGGGAACCACCAGAAAAAGGAAACAAAAAACAATAGAAGAAAGAAAATAACAAAGAGTATGCTTCAATCTGCATTCAAACTCCATAGTTCTTTCTTTGGGCATGGATAGCATTTTCCATCATGAGACCTTTGGAGATGTCTTAGATCCTTGCATTGATGAGAAGGGCTAAGTCTGTCAAAGTTAGTCATCACACATTGTGGCTGTTACCTGGTTCTGCTCACTTCACTCAGCATCAAACCATGCAAGTCTTTCCAGGTTTTTCTGAAGTCTGCCTGCTCATCCTTTCTTATAGCACAATAGTATTCTGTTACATTCATGTACCACAACTTGTGCAGCCATTACCCAATTGATGGGCATCCCCTCAATTTCCAATTCTTGGCCACAACAAAAAGAGCTGCTATAAATATTTTTGTACATATGGGTCCTCTTCCCATTTTTATGATCTCTTTGGGTTATAGCCCTAGGACATGCTATTGCTGGATCAAAGGGTACGCACATTTTTATAGCCCTTTCGGCATAGTTCCAAATTGCTCTCCAAAATGGTTGGATCATTTCACAACTCCACCAACAATGCATTAGTGTTCCAATTTTCCCACGTCTTCTCCAACATTTATCATTTTCCTGTTTTGTCATGTTGGCCAATCTGATAGGTGTGATGTGGTACCTCAGAATTGTTTTAATTTGCATTTCTCTAATCAACAGTGATTTAGAAGCTCTTTACATTTTAATGAGTAGTCATTATTTCTTGGTTTTTCTCTACCTTCTAAGTGAAGATCTGGGGTTAGCAAGAGAACTCTGGCCTGATCTTAACCGTTACCTCAAAAGATTACACGAAATGGAAAAAAATTAAATTGGTCAGGAAGATAAAATGAGAAGCTAATGTATAAAATATGACGTGTGAAGCATGGTGAACTTGAAGTTAGAGATTCTACATTTGAATCCTCCTGTTCCTTCTGTCCAGTTATATGATCTTGAACCTATAAGTTCATCCCCAAAAGCCTTGGATTCATCTGTAAAATGGGCATAATAATACTTATGGCACCTTCCCACTTTAGAGAGTAGGTCTAAAGCTTAGATGAGATATTGCATGTGAAAGCACCTTGCAATTGTAAAGCACTTCATCATTACTATTTGTCACTGGGTGTTGTTTGTTGTTGTTTTACATCTGCTTTTCTTAATAGAGCAGCTCTTCTGACCTTTACTTACCCTGTTATCTTTGAGAAGCAGCATGACATAGAGGACAGAGTGTTATGCCTTTGAATCAGGAGGCCTAGGTTCAACTTCTGTTTCTCACACTTACTATGTGGCACTGGGCAAGACATTCATCTCTCTAAGCCTCAGTTTTCTCAGCTGTAAAATAGGGGTTGGACCAAATCAAGGCTTCTTAATTATTTTGGTTCTTTGTCAATCTGGTGAAACCTGTGGACCTCACGGAATAACTTTTTTTTACATGAATAAATAAAATATTTATAATTACAAAGGAAACCAATTATACTGAAATGCAGTTTTATATATACATATGCATGTTTATGTATACACAGATATATGTGTGTATGTGTGCATAAATATGTGTGTATACACATATATAATATACATATATGTATGTTTGTGTATGTATACAATACATGCACAAACACATACTTTTTTTACTTTTTTTTACATTCATAAATCACCAAGTTAAGAACCCCTTGACTGCATAACATCTCAGTTCCATGATTTATCATCTCTGTAATGGTGATGATAATATTGGTCGGACCTACCTCACAGGGTTGTGGAAAGTAAAGTATTCTGTCAGCCTTGATGCATTATAGAAATGAAAGCTATTCTTCTATCACTCGTCCTTGGTGAAAGTTGGGTTTTAATTTTTTTTTTTAAAGTTGAGCTTCTCTGTAATATCTCAGGAAGACAGTGGCAAAATGAAAAGTCATTGGGCATGATTTATATAAATGACCTAGCATTAAAGTTGACAACAAAAATTGGTGAGCATTGTACTAATGAAGTTTTACTGGAGTCATTTATTTTAGTCACTATAATAAAGTTTTCTGTTTTTTATTTCAGTTTTGATATTAGCTTATGTCTGCATAGCCTTCACCTGAAAAGCCTACTACTCTTAGACAAGGAATTGAGGCAAGAAAAACACATGGTAGGTGGAAGATGGTTGTTTTTAATGTATTTTTTTTATCTGAGTATGAATGTGGTTTTATTAGAAAATGTAAGGACTTTACCTAGTTGAGAAGCAGAAATGACTGTGGTGGGATCCCCTTTACCAGAAGGCCAGATGTCCACTTCTCAGGTGTTATACATAGAGGAGATTCTTGCTCAGGTATGGGATGGTCTCAGTGGCCCCTAACCTGGTTGTCAGCTCTGTAAATCTGTAAATATACTACTTTGTCCACATAGCCTACTTTGTTTATGGGAAGGATGTGCACCGTCCTCCATTAACATCTTCCCTTGTAAATTCATCATGTCTTTAGACATGAGGTGACTCTGGGTTCTCAAGGTTAAGATGGACACCAGAGAACTGGCTCTGGTGGGTCCTACCAATCTGGAAACACTTTTAGTGTGGGCCCTGGGGACTATATAAGGAACAGCCAAGCAAAATAGAGAGCTTTATCACAAGAGTATTGTTTCTCAGAGAACCCATTAGCTCTGACCTAGAAATTCCTTAAAATGGTGAATGCAAAGGCGTGCAAGGAGTAGTTAGGATCTGCATAGGTAGAGGGTGTGACAAAGTGAAGAAATCATGAGATTTTAACATATTGAATTGTGTGATATAATATTAAGCGCTCTGTCTAGATAGGAAAAGTATATATTTTACTCAAAACTCTTTAAAATTTTTATTTTTTTAAATTTATTTTAAAATAATTTAAATGTATTTTGAATTTAATTTATTTAATATTTTTAATTCATTGTCTTTTATACACACGTGTCCTTTATTTTAAAATGATTTAGTGCAAAGATAGTCTTTGCGTTTACTTATGGTTCTTCAAAACTTTAACTATAATTCCTAATTGGGGAGTCAAAAGAGTTAAAAATAGAGTATCCTGACATCCTTTGAAAGGTCTAAAATGATGTTATAAGACACAAAGATTTAGAGGAAAACAGGCATTGTAAATAATTTTTTTCTTAAATAAACATTTTAATTGATTTTTTAAAACATCACTAAAAGTTCCTGGTACTCTCCCTGTTCCCAACAACAAAATTTTCCTTTAAAAAAGATAAACAAAACAAAATAAACAAAATCACTGACCATGCCTAACAGCATATCTAATTGTACACTCATGGTCCACCACCTCTCTACACATTTGTCATTTTCCAATCTGACAGGTATGAGGTGGTATTTCAGAGGCATTTTAATTTGCCTTTCTCTAATCAATAATGATTTAGAATACTTTTTCATATGACTATAGATAGCTTTGATTTCTTCTGAAAACTGCCTGTTTGTATCATTTGACCATTTAACAATTGGGGAATGACTTGTCTTCTTAAAAATTTGACTCAGTTCTCTATATATATTTGAGAAGTGAGGACTTTATCAGAGAAACTTGCCATAAAAAAAGTTTTCCCACTTTCCTTCTAATCTTGGCTGCATTGATTTTGTTTGGGCAAAAATGTTTTAATTTGATATAATCAAAATTATCTATTTTACATCCCATAATGCTCTCTATCTCTTGTTTGGTCATAAATTCTGACCTCATCCACAAATCCGACTGATAAAATTTTCCATGCCTTCCTAATCTCCTTATGATATTGCCCTTTATGTCTAAATTATGTACCCATTTTGGCTTTATCTTGGCATATGGTGTGAGATGTTGATCTACACCTAGTTTCTATCGTAAAGTTTTCTAGTTTTCTCAGCAATTTTTGTCAGATAGTGATTTTTTTTCTTCCCAGATTCTTGGATCTTTGGGTTTGTCAAACATTAGATTACTGTGGTCATTTACTACAGTCTATTTTGTACCTAAACTGTTCCACTGATCCCCTATTCTATTTGTTAAACAATACCAGATTGTTTTGATGATTGCTACTTTGTAATGCAGTTTGAGATCTGATATGGCTAGGCTACCTTCCTTTAATTTTTTTCAGTGATTCCCTTGATATTCTTGACTTTTTCTTTGAAATGAATTTTGTTAATATTTTTCTAGCTCTATAAAATATTTTTGGTAGTTTGACTTTTTAAGCTCTCACTTTCTATGTCATATGGTAACCTCCAGAACCAATGCTCTAATATCCTATAATGTTTTCCTTTAAAAAATCCAGTCACTTTACTACAAAGATAGGTTAAAAACTGGTCTTGAGTTATTGTTTTTCCTCTTTTAATAGATGTTTATCCAGATCCTCAAAATGTCCCTAACTGATATTCTTCCAAAGAAGAAGGGTGGTGATGACTTGTATCAAAAGATCATTTCAAAACAAGAAATGGTATGAGTTACAACTTATACAATCAAAGAAACATTTTTAATAAGGCTCATATTGCTCTCATTCTAACCAACTAACATATGGCTAGTGTCAACTAATTATGCTCTCTTACATCTGGAATTTTGTAAATGAATGTAGATTACAAATCTTTTTTTTAAAGATATGTGTTTATAGCCTTTGTACATAAAGAACCTCTTGATGATATTTCCTGTAAAATATTAGTGACTGCTAAAAAGATTATCTGTACTAGGAGATCAATAGTACTAGAATCTGAGGAACTGGATTCAAATCCTGTCTCTGCCTCTTACAGGTCCTTTAAATTCTCTGGGACTCAGTTTCTTCGTTTTCAAAATGGGAGGATCGGACTGCATGATTTCTCAAGTTCCTTCCACCTTCAAATCTGTGATCTTTATAATCCTATTAATTCTATAAATGTTGTAGCCTAGTCCTCATCTTTTATTGTCTCGAGAATTTAAGAATTATTTGTTGTTGTAGTTTTACTTGACATTTTTCTTTTTAAATTTTATGTCCAGACTGTGATCAGTCCAAGTAGCTAGGTGATACAGTAGATAGAGCACTGGACTTGGAGTCATGAAGACCTGAATTCAAATAAGGCTGTAGACGCTTACTAGCTATGACCCTGTTTAATCTTAGTTTTTCTCAATTTCCTCGTCTATAAAGTGTAGATAATAATAATAGCATCTACCTTACAGGATTGTTGTGACAATGAAATGAAATATCTGTCAGGAGCTATATAAACCTTAAATTGCTATGTAAATGCTACTGTTGTTATCATCTCACTATTATTTCTTGGTGTAGGAAACTCCCAGTATTGAAACTCCCTCCACCCACGTAGATTAGCAGTTCCTTTGTAACATAGATTCTTAAAAAAATTATCCGGGGAAACTCAGGGGTTAAGTGACTTGTCCATGGTCCCCCAGCCAGTATCCGTTAGATGCATCAGTATAATCCAAATCTTCCTCATTCCTAGGTCAGCCTTCTTTCCACCGTACCATCCTGCCCAACAAACTTAAAAACACAAACCTTTCTCTAAGTATATGATTTTCTTCATGAAATGTCGTTGTAAGCACGCAACAGTTTTAGAAATTTTGCACATTTCCCATCATTGCTGGTGATGAGCTGCCTACTAAATGGCACTCTTAAGCTAATAAAAAATGATTGGGAGAGATATCACAGATAGGCAGAAGCAATGGTACTTCTAAAGACAGAAGGTAGAAGACATAGGCTCAGGTCTTCCTGCTGACACTGATTAGCTCTCTGATCTTGGAAAATGTGCTTCATCTTTCTGACCGAGACATTCTTCACTCCTAAGGTATAAATAGTATACTCAAAGCTTCCCCACAAGACTGTGGTGAAGAAAATGCTTTCTAAATTGCATCAGTTTGAGCTGCTGTTAATATATGGGAAGGCAGATAGAAGGATCTCACAAGATGACCAGGTGTGGAGGGGTTGCAGTGAACATCTATGGAAGTAGTACCCTCAGTAATGAAAACACTGATCCAGTACAAAGGAAGCGTCTAGATGAGAAAAAAAATACTGGTTTATTGGTGCTTGTAATGACCTCTTTCTTCATTTCTTACTCATTTTTGATAAATGCCAAGCTTCACATTTGTGCTCATTTTCTCTTTTATCCGTCGATTTTTATTTTTTAATTAAAACTCTGGGGACAAGTTGCCCTACATATATTTGTGTGTGTGTGTGTGTGTAGTGTGTGTGTGTGTGTGTGTGTGGTATATATAGATATAGTTATTGATATTCCCTTAAAACATTAACTACAAAAGGGTAGCCATCATTTTTTAAAAAATATCTTTAGAATCATGAAATTATAACAATAAAGACATGAGGATAATATCACATTAACTACTTCTGGGTAGGAATGATGCCTTCAACTCTCCCTTTTTTTTTCTTCCCCATAGCCAATGCTATATACAGTAGGTGCTTAATAAGTGGAAAGTTATATGGTGAGTCGTAAATAGCCTGGCATATTACCAACAATGATTCCTCCAGAAGAAATGACATTAAATGCATCAACAATGATGTGAACGGCTGGGAAGTGAGATGGGCAAGTCTTGCTGTGCCTGCAAGGAAGAATGGTTGGACAGCCTGAATGTGCTTCTGGTTTCCATGAAATAATAAAACTTCAGAGGAGTAAGAAAGAAGTTATAAAATGAAATGGATGAGAACTACATAGTATGAAGATTTGTGACCTCAGCTAGGAGAGGAAATAAGCATTTATTTAGCACCTACTACATTCCAAGGACTGTGCTAAGTGCTTAAAAAAAATGCCCTATTATTGCATTTGATCCTGGCAATGACCCTGCAAGATAGGTGCTATTATTGTCTCCATTTTACAATTGCGGAAACTGAGGTAAACAGAGGTTAAGTGACTTAACCAGCATCATACAGCTAGGAAGCATCTCAGTCTGGATTTGAACTCAGTTCTTCTTGATTCCTGGTTTAGTCCTTTATCCACTGTGCCACCTAGCTGCCTCAACTAGGAAAGGGAATAGCCCCATGGATCAGGACTTTGATGAGATTGCATATTGGAGTAAATAGATGGCGTCCTCTCCAAATACCATTATTTTTATTCTGTTATGAAGATTCCCTCCTCATCATATAAATTCAGTTTATTAAATTCAGTTATGTGCTAGGCACTTCAGAGTTGCAAAGAATTATGAGACATAATCCCTGCCCTCCTGGGGCTTCCAGTCTAACAGTTGAAGGCAGCATCACATAGATAAGCATAATTCAAAAGGGAATATGCTAATAAGAGAAGTATAAAGTGCTGTAAGAAGTTTAAGAAAGGAAGAGCACATTCCCAATTCAAACACAGCTATAGACACACTTCCAGTGGACATAGGCCTTGACTTTTATCTCTAGCAGTGAAAATTATTTTTAATATTGGATTCTCACAACAACTCTATGAAGTAGGAATTGTAAGTACTTTTATCCTTATTTTGAAAATTAAGAAATTAAGGCTTATCAAGATTTAGTGCTTTATGCAAGACCGCACAAGTAAATCCCACTAGATTGAAAGTAGGTCACATGACTTCTGATCTAATGGCTTTTCACGGTGCCAAGATATCTTAAAGTATTAAAGTATAATGAAAAATATTCCCTTAGGATTAAAAGATAATGTCCAGTTGTTTTTTTGGAAATCCAATGGATAGAGCATTGGGCCAGGAGTCAGAAGACTCGTCTCCCCAAGTTCAAATCTGGCCTCAGATACTTGTTTTGTGACCCTGGGCAAGTTATTTAACCATGTTTGCCTCAGTTTCCCCATCTGTAAATGAGCTGGAGAAGGAAATGGCAAGCCACTCCAATATCTTTGCCAAGAAAATCCCAAATGGTGTCTTAAAGAGTCAGACATGACTGAAAAACAACTGAGCGTCCGACATGCTGTATGAGAGAAATGTTGGTTTAAAAAATATGTCTACGGAGGGCATGTAGCAGATTTTAGAGTCAGAAAGCCTGGGCTTAACTCACAACTGGCAAAATGAATAGAATCTAGAACTCAGAGTCTATAGAACCTCGGTTCCAATCCCATCTCTCCATTAGATTGAGAGCTTCTTGTGGGTGGGGACTGTCTTTTTGCCTCATTTTGTATCTCCAGTACTTAACACAGTGCCTGGCACCTAGTAGGCATTTAAGAAATGTTTATTTATTGATTACTGCTTCCGACTAGCTATCTGACTGTGAGCAAGCTAGTTATCTTCTCTTGCCCTCAGTTTACTTATCTGTAAAAATCGAGTTAGAAATGCCCAAAGGGCTATAAAAATGTACATACCCAGGGGTAGCTAGGTGGCACAGTGGATAGAGCACTGGCCCTGAAGTCAGGAGGACCTGAGTTCAAATCTAGCCTCAGACCAAACCCTTGACACTTACTAGCTGTGTGACCCTGGACAAGTCACTTAACCCCAAATGCCTAAAAATAAAAATAAAAATGTACATACCCTTTGACCCAGCAATAGCACTTCTAGGGCTCTATCCCAAAGAGATCAAAAAAACGGGAAAAGGACCGACATGTACAAAAATATTCATAGCAGCTCTTTATGTGATAGCAAAGAATTGGAGATTGAGGAAATGCCCATTAATCTGGGAATGGCTGAACGAGTTGTGGTATATGAATGTAATGGAATATTATTGTGCTATAAGAAATGATGAGCAGGCAGACTTCAGAAAAACCTGGAAATACTTGTATGGACTGATGCTGAGTGAAGTGAACAGAACCAGAACGTTGTACATAGTAACAGCCACCTTGTACGATGACTAACTTTGATAGACTTAGCCTTTCTCATCAATGCAAGGATCTAAGACATCTCCAAAGGTCTCATGATGGAAAATGCTATCCACATCGAAAGAAAGAACTATGGAGTTTGAATGCAAATCAAAGCATACTATTTGCTATTTTTTTCTTCTGTTTTGTTTTGTTTCCTCTTTATGGTGGTTCTTCCTGTTGGTTCCAATTCTTCCTTACAACACAAATAATGTGAAAATATGTTTATAGGAATGTATATGTATAGCCTATATCAGATTGTGTGAGGTTTTGGGGAGGGAGGTGAGGAGGGAGGGGGGAGAAAAATTTAAAACTCAGAAGCTTATAGAAGTGATTGTTGATAATCAAAATAATTTTTTTTTAAAAAAGAGTGAGACTAGATAATGTCTAAGGGCTCTTCCATCTCTAAAGCCCATTATCCTCTGACCTTTACTAAGTATGTGACCTTGAGTAAATAACTTTGAACCTAAAATGCCTTCTTATATGTAACATGAGGATGACAGTGCTTGCATCTATTTCAGAGGATTTTTAGGTAGATATTTTGTAAGCCATAAAATGCCATAGGAGAATGAGGTATGACTATAAATATAAAAACCTATAGGGCATTTAATCAAGGATTAACGAATAGTTTTTTGTATTGCAGCTAAGACTATGGGGAAAATGTTTATCTCCCTGGTATTTAACATGTTGCTGTTGTTTTTTCTTTTTTTAATTTGTGGTGTTTTTATTTTTATTTTCAGGATTTAGAAGAATTAGAAAAACAAATTCAGTCCAAATTATCAAACACAGAAATGGTGGGTGCTGGTAGCTCTGAATATTTCACACTGGAGGATATCGAAAGGAAAGAGAGGGAATATTCAGAACACATAATAGATAATGTACGTACAGAATTTTATTTCCCTCGCAATGCTTACAATAAAAAAAAAACCCTTTTTTCCCCCCACTGGGCAATTAAATTGGTTAAATAAAAAGAACTGATCTTGAAAGCTTGTTAGACACTTTCCTTCCCTTTAGGGACTTATTTATCTGGTTTCTCAAGGTAAGTAAGTGGTAGAAAAGGTATAATGAAGGTTCAAAGATTCACAGAAAGAAAATTTGTTTAAGTGTCCTGTCTTTTGTGAGAATCTCCAATTACTCTTTTGTAATTCAAACTGGAAATTGTTGGAACTTTCTCTGATGATCCTACCTCTCTCTTGGGGCAGAGAAAATTCCTTCTGGGAAATGTATACCCTGTTGGAAAGTCCCCCTGGAAGAGGAATTGGGGAGGGGGCATAAGAGAGACAGTGCTCTGAGGCAGGTTGTAGAGTGGAAAGAGGATGAGATGAGGAATTAAGGGGCTTGGGTTCAAATGCAGACTTTGCTACTAATGTATTTCATCTGTAACCCAGGCATGGCCTGGCCTGGCAGAATCCTGGCCTCTCACACTGAGAGTGGGCCATTCATTCTCTCTGTCCTGGTTTCGCCCCAACCTGCCCTGAAATGGGCAGGTCCCAGAGAAAGATTACCACCACATAGAGAGATAAGGGAAAAAGAATGAAGATTTAGATAGTGCCTACCGTGAGGACCTACCACAGGTTCTCAGTAAAGTGCTATTTTATAATTACCATCTCATTTAATATTCACAACAACCCTGTGAGGAGGGTGCTGTTTTACAGTTGAGGAAACCGAAGCAAACAGAGGTTAAGTGACCGACTCAGGATTACACAGGTACTAAATATCTGAGTCTAGATTTGAACTCAGGTCTCAGCATTCTATTCACTGTGCCACCTAGTTGTGAGAGAGACAGAGAAAAACAGAGATAGAAGGAAAAGCAGGAGGAGGAGGAGGAGGAGGAACTTGGGAAATTTAGCTTAGAGTATGATCACTGCTTTCAAAGTGGAAGAGAAGATAGACATTGACCCAGGTTTGAGTGCCAGCTGTCGCTAGATGGCTATATGACCTTGGGCAAGATACTTCGCCACTCTTTACCTCAGTTTCCTCATTGGTAATATTCAGAGATATGACTGCAAAATTTCCAAGGTCTGTTCCTACTTGAAAATTCACTATTGCAAAATTGTCCGTCCAGGGCTCTCACACTACTACTTTGTATGCATGATTTGAAGCAAAGTTGGCAATTACCCAGCCATGACTGGTATAATGGATGTAATTGGGTACTTTGTTCTCTGAAAATCTTTGCAAAGCTAAAAAAACTGTCCTCAACCCTGACACAGTTTGCCATCTATTAGACAGAATTAATATCTAGTATTGAAGGTTCAATTTCTCTTAAATATACTCTTTCACTCCCATTAGTTGCTCACCTCTAGGGATTGTAAATAGTGATAATCATAGTGTAAATGCAGCATTTCAAACAATGATGACATAATTGCAATTTTCCTAATGTATATAACCTCGTAACTTTATAGATTACAATATTCAATTATTCCATTTTTGTTTTGAAATAGGCTTCCAATAGAATATGGAGTTTGGTATCTGTTGATACTTACTTTTTGGTTCAGTGACTGCTAAGTTAAGACTTTTGTGATTTAAAAAATTGGGGATACTTGGTTCTATTGAAGAGTAAGAGGAAACCTGTGCCACTTACCTGTCCTTTGCTCTCAGATCTTGGAACATATATATATGTGTGTGTGTATGTGTGTGTATATATATGTATATATATATACACATATATATACATATATATACACACATATATGTATATGTATGTATGTATATATATACATATATATGTATGTATATATATACATATATATGTATGTATATATATATATACATATATATATATGCTAGAGTGTGATTAACTCCCTTTGACTCTGAATGAATCAGCTGTGTGAAATGGCAAATAAAAAAGCTACTGTGATTGATAGAAGTCTAGTGCCTAGAGCAAAGAAAGTGGAGTAGGCCTGTTGTTCCCTGCCCCAGGGAGGCCACAGTTTGAGTATTGTACTCAGTTCTGGATATGACATTCAGAAAATACGTTGACAACCAGGAATATGCCTACAGGATAAACAGAAGGACAAGGAGATTGACACCATGGTGATCAAGAATTGGTTAAAGGAACTGAAAATGGTCAGCCAGAAGTCTTAGGGGGTCAGGAGAAGAGAACATGGCCACTGCTTTCAAATAACTAAAATGGATACAGGGTAAAAGAGGATTTATATTTACTTAGATCTAGAACTAATAACAGTAAGACAGAAGAAAATTTTGGTTCAATGGAAGAACTGGCTGTCAATAAGAGTGATCCAACAGTATAATTGCTGCCTTGAGAAGTAGCAACTTCACTACCACAATTTGAACCACTGGCCCACCGAATACAAGCTATGCTCAATGCAATAAATTCTAGAGTAGTCAGAGAATTTGGCCTATTCCTCAGAGTTTACTAAAATTGAATTTAGCTTATGTTGATATGATTACTTCTAGTTTGCTAATGTGCCTTTGCCCTAATGGTTGATTTGGTGTTCAACTGTATCCAACTTTTTGTGATCCCATTTGGGTTTTTTTTGGCAAAGATGCTGAACTGGTTTGCCATTTCCCTCTCCATCTTATTTACAGGTGAGGAAATCGAGGCAAACAGAGTTAAGTGATTTGCCTAGGGTGACACAGCTAGGAAGTTTCTGAAGCCAGATTTGAACTCAAGAAAATGAGTCTTCCTGACTTCAGGCCCAGAACTCTATCTGCTGTACCACCTAGCTGCCCCCATAGTTTCCTGGAAAGTTTTAAAAGCCAAATGCTTCAAAATTTTCCTGCAAAATTGATTTTTTCATAGATAATAGGTAAACTTATTGCCAATTAATAGGAACACTTGCCAGACAGAGTATTTTGTACTTGAACCCCTCAGCCCTGTCCTTAAAAATAAAAATAAGAAAGAAAGCAAAAGGGATCTTTTTTAATCTGTCACAATGCCTCTAATTTGACCAAGGCATGATGTAGTTGTACTCATAATTTAGCTTTTAATCCCCTTTGATATTCCTTCTTTATGATTAACTTACAAGATGCTAATTACAAAATATTTTATTAAATGATATGAACATTTATCTGTTTGAGAGCAACCTTGTGAGGCAGCTAGTACAAGGATTTTATCACCATTTTATAGGAAAAGGAGCTGAGGGTGAGAGAAGTTAAGGAGCTTGCTGGTCACCCATCTAGTAAGATCTGGAGCTGGGATACAAACCAAAATCTCCAGACTTCAGATTCTTTTCTACCTCATTGCACATCCCCTCTAGGGACCAGATTGAAGGGTTTCCTTTGATACCCATCATCACGCAACTGTCAATACCGAATTAACCTGTACTTGGCCAGCATCTTAGAGTGGATTTTTTTTTTGTTCTTTTTTGGCATCTTCTCAATAGTCTCATTAGCTACTCAGTCATTCGGTAATATCAGCCCAACCCAGCAAAGGATACAGTATTTTAAGTCACACTAATTCCCAGCTATGTTCTCAAAAAGGAAAAATAAATCATTTCAAGTTTCATTCCAGAAGATTTTCCTGACCAATTTTGGTTGATCTTAACTAAAAAATATTTACCAAATGCCTATTATGTTCTACAGCAGGAGTCCTTAACCTGGCGTCTGTGAGATTATTTTTTAAAAATATTTTAAAAACTATTTCAGTGTCAGGTGGGGGGGAGGGAGCATCTGCTGTGGAGAAGGAATCCAGGCATCTCCACCAATCTCAGCCAACTGCCACATACGGGACAAGCAAGCCAGCCTCCCCAGAGCATCAGGGCACCCTGAGGAGGAAATGGGAAACAGCATACATCAGAAGGGTCAAACCACCACCACTTTCACCAGCATTTCCCTTCAGACCCTGACAGAGAGAGCCCAAGACCCTGAACTCAAGAGACTTTGGAATAGCAATGCTTCTATCAGAGTGGCTGGAGCTATCATCCTCAGAAGCAACATCTGTCAAGATTCAGCCTGGAAACTACCTCTCTTAGTGCTATACCCACAGCTTTGGAAGATTCAGAAAAGAAAGTTCTTGCCACCAGATAGGCCTTGGCACTATCAAGTGATTCCGTGTCATAAACTGTTATGTTTTCTTATCAATGGAAGTGACTTTAAGAAGAAGCATTGGTATCTGCTTTGCTGCTGCCCCCAAGGATCATAGGACCTTTCCATCTGACCTTTTCATATATATTGTTGTCCCCATTGGAATGTGAGCTCCTTGAGAGTAGGAACTGTCTTACTGTCACATTCTCAGCACTTATACTTAATTGTAAGTGCTTTAAAATTCTTTATTCATTGATTCCTTCATTCTGTGTAATTCATCTCCCTTATATTCCTATGTCTTTTATGCCATTAAAAATAGTATTCTGAGAAGGAATCCCTAGGCTTGACCAGACTTCCAAAGGGTCCATGGCACAAAAATGGTTATGAATCCCCTGTCTTAGGGTATTTCAGTGTTACAAGTATATGTGACTTTGTTGCTCTCCACCAGTGCAGATGATAGATCCATCCCTTAAAATTCCAGCACCTAGTGGCCAGTCTTTTGAGGAAGAGTCTTCTGGTGGGAGATACTAGCAATACAAAGATAAAGCCTTCAAGCCCTTAATACTCTGAAGTTTTGGTATATGGGAAGTCGTGTGAACAAATAGCCATTCTATAAGACTGGGAAGGAGGTCTGAAGAGCCATATCAGTTCCTAATAGGGCAGGGTTATTTCTGGCTGCATGGGGGGAAGAAGGTAGGAATAAGGAATGATTTCAAGGAAGAGAAGACATTTGAGCCGAGCTATGAAGGATAAATAGTCATTGGAAAGAGTGAAATAGGCTCTTGGGGGAAGAGCATAGGGTTGTGAGTCTACAGCCCTTGAGTCAAATCTAAGACCTACCAGATAACTATTAATTTACACCAGTCACTTCCCACTCTAAGCCTGAGTTTTCATATCTGAAAATCTCTAAGGACCTTCTCACTTACAAGTTTATGATGTTATGCAGTGAAACTGATGGGGTAGGAGGAAAGCATTCTAGGTGGAGGGAAGACCATAAATAAAAGCACACAAGTGACAAGTTAGGATATTTAATTCAATTCAGTGGGCATAGAAGTAACAAGTTAGTATGTTTAATTCATTCCAAGAGCATTTATTAAGAATCCAATATGTTCAAACAAGGCATATCTTTCCAACGTCCTTACACATCCCTCCACACCATGCACTGTGGTCCAACTATATTGGCCTGCTTTCTCATCCTCAACCATCATCTGTCTACTGCCTCAGCCTTCTCACTGGCAGTTTCTGGTGCCTGGAATGTTCTTCTTCTTCCCCTACATCACTTAGAATTCCTGACATTCTCCAAGACTCATTTCAAGCACTACCTTTTATTTTAGGTCGTTTCCCTCTACCCTTGACTCTACCCCGCTGACTGTTAAGAGCTTTCTCTCCAAGGTTACTGTCCATTTACATTGTATATATCTCATACTTACCAATTTATATACCTGTTGCCTCCACCACTAGAATGCAAGCTCTTTGAGGACAGGAACTGTTTGTGTTTTTTCTTTGTGGCTCAGCACAATGCTTGGAACATAGTAAGCAATTAATAAATACTAGCTGGTTGATTGATTGAGTGTTCTAAGCCAGGACCTAGAGATAAGAAGACAAAAGGTGAATTATTTCCCACCATCCCGGAATTTACATTCTAATTGAGGGTATTGAGAAAATTAGGTTAATAAGTGGTTAATTGTTGGAACTAAATGAACCACACTGACTCCATCTTGTGACTCAATTCTGGAGCTAGCTTAGTTTCTATTCAATTATGGGTATAGTCCAATTGCTGTCTTGTCTCATTCAATTGTGAGAATTAGGTGGAAAAAACACTTTATTGCATTATTTGAGCCTAACCCTGTGTGACTGGGAAACTGGGACCACATCTCCCTGCTGCTTAGAGACCCTTAACCAAGGATCTATGTTATGCTGAAGAGAAACCCAGTCAGACCTGAAGATTGATGCAGTGAGTTTTCTCACATCTTTACATTTCAAGCAACCCATATGTCTTATCTGAAAACTGGTCCTGTGCTGATCAATCAGTTATTGTTTCCATGTTCCTTTGATTGATTACAGACACTTGGGAGGAGTAGGCCACTTCTTTTTCTTAATTCAGAGAATTGCACCTGCTCATCCTCCCTCTCCCAACTTGGAAAGCCCTTAATCTTTCCTCCAATTAGAAATCAGATTATCTAATGTTATAGTTTCCTTTTAATTAATTGACCTTATTTGATTAATTGTTTTTAATGTATAAAAATCTGTCTACCCCTGTATTCGGAGTCCAGGCTTAAGCTGAAGAGGTCTGGCTCTGGTTTGTTGGGCAATTGCTTAATAAATCAATATGCTTAGAAGATCAGACCTTTGTTTCCTCAGTCATTTCTTCTATCACTTGCCACATAATGAAGGTGTCCAACATTTATACAGATAAGTGAATATAAGATAATTGAAAGATAGAGAGAGCCCTATTTATAGCTCAAGTCTGAATGGTACATTAGAAGCCATATTGCCAAACCTCATTTTACAGATGAAGAAACTGAGGCTCACACTGGTTATATATCTTGCCTAAGGTCACACAGGTAGCAAGTGACAGGGGTGGGGTTTCAACAAATGAAAGTTACTCTGACTTCAACCCAGTGCAGTTTCTCCCATCAAAGCCACAGGCATAAGCTGGGAATAATAAATATAAAATACTGTTAGTTTAAAATAATGCAGAAGTTTGTGAAATTGAAATACCTTTGAGCCAGTAGCTGATGTCTGTACTTTTTCCTTTTAGATCAGAGTTTCTAATAACAGTGTCCCTTTTCCTGAAGATCCTAATTAGTTGGAATATTTAAGCCATGTTCACCATAATGCTTCCTATCCTTATCTCAAGTGCCTCATCTTCTAAAAAGATGCCTTAAAACTGAATGACAGAGTTGTAGAAACCCTGGGGTGAGGGTGGGGTAGAATGCTGTATGAAATGCTACAGCATAATCAGCATAGAATTGTATATCAACACGCAGACACTTTAAAATTTATCTTGTACAATATGTAATGTTTGATAAATATTCAAAGACATCATGTACATACAGTCATCACTCTTCTCTCTGGTATGTCATTTTCATTTCACAGATGGAAGCCTTCTGGAAACAGATAGAAAAAACCCAGCACTTTCTTCTAGACCAACTGAAATGTTTAAGTGCCAAAGCAGGGCAGATAATGCAAAATCTAACTGAAAGAATGATTACAGCAGAAGAGTTATTAAGTGCCTCTCAGGACTTGCAGACCCTGGTAAGTATGAAGAGAGCAGGAAGAGGAGGGGGCCTTCCAGCACCCAGAGGCATCTTCTCATCCGTCTGAGTATGTTGTGTTCAACAAGGAGGATGCCTGTATGTTATCTAGTAGAAAGAGTGCCAGAATGGCCAAGTGACCTGTGATGTGTGAATATAATGGGATATTCTTAGGTTAATAAGAAATGGCAAATGTGAGTAATTCAGTATAAACTGATGAAGAAAGAAATTGGCAGAACCAAGAGTGCTTTATCCAATACAGGAGCACTGTAAAAATATAAATGAAAAGAAGGCCAAAAGAAAGCTAAACTCTTAGTGACTGGAAAAATGATTGTTAGTCCCAGAGTATAAGAAGCATATAAACAGAGAGGCAGAGGTCTAATCACACCGAATATTACATAAATCGCTAGATGAGGTATCTCTTATTGATCGTTTTTGTTTAGCTGTGAGAGATTTTAAAATGGATTCCTCCCATGTAGAATCCTTCCAGGCAGTGGGCATCCTTGGCCTTGGGAAACAGAGATGTGGGCAGGTGCCATTCACAGTGGGAGAAGTTAATGATGGCTCTGGTCCCCTGTGCCAACACATCCATAGGGATTTATAGGGATGAGTTGCCTTTGGGAAATTGCAAAGATCCTTTCATGACCCCAACATTCCCCCAGAAACAAAGGCCCATTTTTTTGATAACAAAATCCTACTGCTGTTTCTGTGTGGCAGTGAAATATGGAATATATGACTCTCTGAAGAATTAAAAGTGAATATTATTCAGAAGGCAGTGGAAAGATTCATCACAGGTGTGAGCAGGCTGCAACCTATCACCAATGAAGAATAATGAAGAAGAGGACTGAAAGATAGCATCAGAGAAATGTAGAATGATAGGAAGAAAAGTTTGGCTGCTTACGTGGCAATATTGACATATGATAAAGAATGTAAGTGTTTCAGTGATATCTAAGGGATACCAAGAAGTGAGGAAGACATCCCTTGGGTAAATTTATGGGAGGACGTGGATGTGAGTCAAGGGCAGCTGGGTGGCAAAATGGATAGTAGAGTTAGGGCCAGGCCTGAAATCAGGAATACACATCTTCTTGAGTTCAAATCTGGCCTATGTGACCCCAAGCAAGTCACATAGCACTGTTTGCTCAGTGCCCTCATCTGTAAAATGAATTGGAGAAGGAAATGGAAAACCACTCCAGTCTTTTTTGCCAAGAAAACCCCAAATGGGGTAACAAAGAATCTGACATAACTGAAACAACTGAGGAACAAATGGACATGAGTCATATAAGATGGGCAAGTATGAATATATTACAGTCTGCATTATTGGAGGGATCTCATCACAGTATCATCATAGATCCTTTTCAGCATTTAAACATGCCAGGGAGTAGGAAAGTCACTAATTATGTTTGATGGTGGATTAAGAAACTGGTCATCTTTTGAGGTGTTGGCTGGGTAAAAAGAGAGTGTATAAATCGGTATAAGTTGATTAGTCAGAGTCAGGAAAGGGTTGAAGTGTTGAGGAAGTATAGGGAATTGAGAATCTGAGAAGCAAAAGGCAGCCATGGCACCCAGGGCCCAGCTCTTGGGGTTTATCCTTTGTTATTGTCACTGGTGTGTCTTGATGAGAGAGGTGCTATTTAGGAATGTATGGTTCTTGTCTTGTATGGTGCCAGGGTGTCTGCACAGCATTGGCCAGGACTGGGAAGCAAAAGATGAGGAATCTGTAAAGTCAGGTCAGTCTGACCCCACTTGAATTGACCAGCTATATTTGCTTCCTATTTTCCATCCTGAGAAAAGGGTGATGAAGGGCACTGGGCAAAGTAACAGAGTTGAATGATCATAATAGTAATTGGAATTTCTATAATGCTTTGTGGTTTACAGATCACTTAGTGAAATGATTTTCTTTTTGTTCCTTTAATAGCCAAGTAAAATAAGTACTGCTATGGTCCCCATTTTATACTGGAATGGAGCTATGTGATTTCACCAATCTGAATATTCTTTCCAGTGATGTCAATCACAGCCCTCCATGACTGCCTCTTATGCACAGCTCTCGTTCATGTCTTCCTATGAGTTTGCTGAAGGGGGTCCATCTACCATACTGGAGTCCTTACTTGCTTTCTGCTGCCATTGCCAGCATGTCCGTGGAGCACTTGGGTCATCTGCCTCCCATATTTTCCCTTTCCCATGACCAACTCATATTTTTTCCTAGCATACATTTCACTGATGTCTCCTCTTTACTCCTGAACTTCTTCCAAGTCCCTCATTTCTTGTATTTATTGGCAGCTTGGTGACATAATGGATAGAGTGTTGGACCTAGAGTCAGGAAGACATGAGTTCAAATCTGGCCTCAGGCACATACTAGCTGTGTGACCTTGAACAAGTCATTTAACCTCTGTTTGCATTAGTTTCCTCATCTGTAAAGTGGGGATAAGAGTTGTTGTGAATGTCAGTGAGATAATAATTGTAAAGTGCTTAGTATAATGCCTGGCACATAGTAAGTGCTATATAAATGTTAGCAATTATTATACATTATGGTATAATGCTCACAGCGACAATGCACACTTGCCTGTTATTGCATGGACAGTATGATTTATTGGAAAGACTGATGAATTTGGGGTCAGAAGACATGGGTTCAATTCACAATTCTGCCACTCATTTCTTGAATGACCTTGAAAAAGTGGAGTAACCTCTCAGAGCCTCAGTTTCCTCTTCTGTAAAATGAAAGGATTGAACTTGATGACCTTTAACATCCCTTTTAGCTCTAAATATAGTAGTCCTGATGGACAAACTGTCACTTTAATCAGTTCTTTTTACTCTAAATTTATTCTAAATGTTCTTTCCATCGTATCACAACTGGAAGGGACAGACAACTTTTTCATTTTACAGAAGAGGAAGCTAGGACCAAGAAGGATGAAATGATTTCTCCAAAATCACATGGCAAATAAGTTCCATTGTATCTGCAGAGGAAGCAGAAAATCATTCACTTCATCCATACATAAGCCATAAGAGGGTAAGATTAAAGTGTGGGCAAGCAGCAGCTCATTTTATCAAAGACTGGAAATACTCAAACAGGAGCTGTTTTGTCTTTGTTCATGACCCCCATCTAAGTGAGCACCCCTCATCAGAGCAACTGATCTCAGATAGTGGTTTTTAAGGCTGCATATGCCCTTTGTGACGTTACAGGTAAAAGTGTAACATTCAGGCCATCTGTACCTACTTGTGTTAAAAAATATTCTTTGAAGATAATGTGATATGTTCCATAGACATTTTCCTACATTTCTTTGAACAAATTATTAGTTAGTTAGAAAAAATATATCTAGATGCTGAATGTCTGACCTAAAATAAACTCGTAGATTATATCATTTTGCTCTGTCTAATGGAGTGTTTTTCTTCTGCCTCCTAGGCAGGCTGAAAGAAACACCCTTGGATGGAGTGGTCTCTTAAGTTAATGAGGGTATACTACTATGTATAGTAAGGGGGAGGGAAAAGGAAGAAAAGGAGAAAAAAGAATAAAGTAAAGTTACACAATAAATTTATCATATATTTTAAAAGAATAGCAAGTTGTACATAACAGATTTGCAGTTTCATGTGCAGTCATCTTGTTTTATTCTACTCTGTTATAGAAATTCTTGTTTTATTTCTTAAGTTCAGAATATATTTTTTAAAAAAAAGTAATTTCCTAGAAAAAATAGAATGAATGACTGAGGAGAAAAGAGTGGATTTCATCAGCCTGACTCCTTCTGATAAGTGAAGACAACAGATTTATCATTTGAACAGCTTTCCCTCAAAATTCTTGTGTTTAAAGGGATTAAGTATTCTGAAATATTAAAATTCATTAAATTTTACCTTTTCCTTGCCTTTATTTTTAATTACCCTCTTTTTTAACATTACAATCACCTCAAGATGACATCCAAAAAGAATCCCCTCTGTAACAAATAAGTACAAAAAAAAACCCAATGCATTTGCAGAACCTAACGATGCATGTCGATGTTCACTTATAGTCATCGGCTCTCTGCGAAGAAGTGAGAGTTATCCTTCATCATCAGTGTTCTGAAGTGATGCAATCATAGATTGAGAGCTGGTGGGGTCCTTAGAGGCCATTTAGTTCAACTTTGTCATTTTACAAACTGGGAAACTGAGGTCTGGGGAGACAGTGAGATTTATCCAAGGTCACACAAGTAGTTAACGACAGGGCCAGGATTTGAATCTGTATTCCATGGTTCCAAATCCAGTGCTCTTTCTGCTGTACTATGTTGACCTATAATTAGTCACTACCTTGATCAGAGTTCTGAAATTTCTCAATGTTTTTCTTTATAACATTGAAATCCTTGTACTAGTTCTTCTGATTCTTCTTACTTTATTTTGAATCATTTAATTCAAGTCTTCCCAAGTTTCTCTAAATTTTTCATATTTATCAATGCATAAAATTCAATCATGTTTAATTACATTCATATATTCCTATTCATTCAGCTATTCCCCTACCTGCTTTGGGCATCTATTTTCCTTCTAGTTCTTTACTACTTCTAAAAAAGACTACCATAAATATTTTGTACATCACCTTCCTAGGCTTATTTCCCTTCCTTTCCCTCACCATGCATATTAGCCAGTGCAGACAGCTTTTTGTTCCTGAATGTGCTGTGATCTCGGTTCTCTTAGCCTGGAATACCTTTCATTTCTTTCCTTTTTTTTGCTGCTGAATTGGTGCCCACTTTTTTTGTGGCCATCTCAAGAAACACCTCCTCCGTGAAACATATACTAATGACCTGTAGGTTAGCAGGAGACAGTTGTAGTGTAGATTAAGCAGTAGTCTTGGAGTTAGAAGACCTAGGTTTGAATCTTAGTGCAGTCAATTACTATCTTTGTGATCTAGGACAAACTAGTGTGTAATACTTGGTTTTTAGTTTCTTCCTGAATCCCTCCAAGATCTAGAATCCTATACCTCACAACTCTTCTAGCCCCATACTGTTGTACTTGCCAGGTTGTATTATATGTTGTGGTTTCCTTTGTATGTTTTACATTACTCCATGAGACTGGAAGCTTCTTGGAATTAAAAGCCATGTCTTAACTTAACTTTGTACCCCACCCAACATGCGGCACTGTGCTCTGTGCACAGCAGGCACTTGATAAATGGTGGTTGCTTTAAGTATTTCAGATATAAACAGACTAGATGCCAATAAAGCTTAAAATAATCATCATAATAATAGCTTATATGTCCCTGGTGCTTTAAAGTTTGCAAAACACTGTAATATATCATGTCATTTCATCCACACAATAACCTTGTTATTATAAATGCTGTTATCTCTGTTTTACAGATGAAGAAATTGAGGCTGAGAAAAGTTAAGTCACTTGCCTAGGGTCAAATAGCTAGTAAAATTTTGAGTTGGGATTTGAACTCAGATCTTCCCAGCTCCCAATTCCAGCCACTTTTTTCCCAAGTTACCTCTCAAAGTTGCCTCATAAATATTTTGTTCAATTTCATGGTATATACATATGTGTGTGTGTATTTTTTTTTTAATTTCTAGGACATTCAAGAGAGAACAGTGGGTTGGGAATATATGGCCAAAATGATCAACTCCTTAAAATTACAAATTCAGGAAGAGACCAAGTGTCAGCTGACTGTGATTTCTCGAGCACTGGAGTCGTTAACCATTGCAGGGAAACTCTCAGTAAGACAGAAGGAAGAATTGCTCACACAATTGCACAAAGCTTTCTGGGGAGAAGTAGAGCATTATAATAATGGTAAGTGACTCAGATTTGTCTGGTCTCTGAAACAATGATGATTTTGTTGTGATAGAATGTGAATTCAACTCAAATATTGGTAATGTATTTTCAAACTGAGAGGGAAAAGTAGTTACTATTATGTTAGGGAGATAAGTCCCCCAATTGGTGTTAGAGTGCAAAAGTGATGATGGTAACCTCAATATGGGTAAAGCAAAACCTCTTCTTAAAACATCAATTTCTTTATATCATTTTACTATGTTCAGTGGCTACCCATCATCTGTTACATGGATTCTACGATCTTGTCTCTGTCATTTTAAGTGCCTATTTAAAATAGTATAATCACTGCTATCATTTGAATTGTTCAGATAGATATTCACTGTTGACTACTTTGTCAAGGATCGTAGAATCACAGAATTGGATTGGACCCCAGAGGCCATTTGTCCAGCCAGCAAGAATCATCTTTACAACATTCATGCCAAGTGACCATCCAACCCTTACCTGAGGATCTTCAGTGAAGGGAAGCCAGCATTGTACACTGCATGAATAATGAAGGCCCAATAGATAGACTCATGAAGAACAAAATCGATAAATAGATTAAGCCTACTCCTTAAGTTCTTCAGCTTCTGGGGCTTTTACAAGCAGGTTTTCTGTTTACAAACTGCTTCCTACATGTCCTCAAAAGAATCTAGGGCATTTTTTTCTCAAAATAAATATATTTCAAGCATAGTTTGGATGGACTGATTTCAAAACTAAATAATAGAGATATTTCTTCACGCAAGAGTTGGGCCAGTTATTTAAAATCAGGCACAACTTTTACTTTTTACAAATTAACAATACATTTAATTTATTTAGAGTGGAGGGGGGGCTTGGGATACATTATATTATAATACAGACTATATTGCTGGCACCATATGCTCTGGTCTCAGTCCAGTGGTTTCTAAGCCTGACTTTGCAGTCTTCCAAGCTACAGCTCATTACATCTGGGCAGAGGTGTCACAATAAAATTAATTTTAATTCATTTCAATTTAAAATACCAACATCTCATACAATAGTTTTCTTTTTTTATTAAATTATTTTTTTGCCATTCAGTTAGAACTTTTAAAAAGGCATTTATGTTTCCAGCTCTTTACTGTATGCAGTATAAAATTTCTCAAAATACACGTTATTTTCCAAAGGCCAACTCCAGATCAGTCAAGGAACAACTTTCCTAACTTGTGTACCTCTCCTGCAACCCTGCTCCTTTTTGTTATTGTTGTCTCTGTATTGACCCCAATCTTCACTTTATACCATTAACTTACTACCATGTCCATGACCTAAGGAATAATGTACTTCTGTGCTTACACAACAGTCATCATTTAGGTGGATCACAGGGCAATGTGTAGCATTGTTTTTCATTTTCCTGTGTGAAGCGGTGGCTTTCTTCTCATGCCTCATTGCAGTGTGAGACTGACCCTGCATTTCCATAGCAGGTCCTACTGAGAGTAAAGGCTTTGAGAATGAGTCCAAATTTTTTTTGGAGCGGGGAGAGAAAGAGAGTCAGACAGAGAGACAGACAGACAGGCAGAGAGCAAGAGAGAGAGATGGAGACAGAGAGAAAGAAAGAGAGACAGAGAGAGAGAGAGTCTACTAATAGGGGCAATAGCAGTTGTTGAAGATTATTTAGTAAGTCTGAGTAGGGTTGAAAGATGAGTCAATGAAAAATTGACCCACATCAAAGAAATATCAGATCCTTTCATTTTTCAAATATTAATCCAAATAATCTATTCCTAAATACTACAGCAGGCCACATTTGTAATAGCACTTTAAAGTTTCCATAGGTCATTGTTAGCAATATGCTATGAGGCAGGAAGATCAGTTATTCCTATCAAGTTATAAGTGAATGAATCCTGTTTTGCTTGGGGGGAGGGATTCAGAGGAGAATCCATAGTTATAGGATGGAATGGGATATGACCTGTGATTTCATTGATAAAGGGAGCTCTCAGGAAGTCAAGTCCCTCTCCCAACGTAGGTCTGCACCTACCCTGCAACTTATAGTCTTAGAGAGTTGCCTAGGGCACTGGGAGGTTAAATGAATTCCCTAGCATCATACAGACAGTTCAGATCAGAACTTGAACTGAAATCTTTCTGACTTGCCAGATCTCTCTCCACTAAACCAAGCATACTGGAAAATTATCATACAAAAATACTATAATATGTGAGTGTACGCATATACGTATATACAAACACATATATACATATATAGATACATACATATGTAGACACATATATTTACCATGAAACTTGGGTCTTTTTTCCCTTTTAAGTAGTATTTTATGTTTTCCAATTACATATAAAGACAATTTTTAACATTCATTATTTTAAATAAAATTCTGAGTTCAAATTTTCTCCCTTCTTTCCTTCCCCCCCCAGATGATAAGCATTTTGATATAGGTTATATATGTGCAATCATGTAAAACATATTTCCATATTAGTCATGTTGTATAAGAAGAAACAGAACAAAAGAAAAATATGAAAAAGTAAAGTGAAAACAATATGCTTCAATCTGCATTCAGACTTTATCAGTTCTTTCTCTGGATGTAGATAGCATTTTTGATCATGAGTCTTTTGGAATTGTCTTGGATCATTGTATTGTTGAGAAGAGCTAAGTCTATCATAGTTGATCATCCTACAATCTTGCTGTTGCTCTGTACAATATTGTCCTGGTTCTGCTCACTTCACTCAGCATCAGTCCATACAAGTCTTTCCAGGTTTTTCTGAAATCCGCCTGTTCATCATTTCTTATAGAACAATAGTATTCCATTACATTCATATACCACAACTTGTTCACCATTTTCCAATTGATGGGCATCCCCTCAGTTTCCAATTCTTCGCCACCACAAAAAGAACTGCCATGAATATTTTTGTACATGTAGGTCTCCCCCACCCCACTTTTTAAAATCTCCTTTGGATACAAATGCAGTAGCGGTATTGCTGGGTCAAGGATGTGCAGAGTTTGGTTGTCCTTTGGGCATAGTTCCAAATTGGAAAGCCGGCTCTTTTTAAGCATAATTCTCAGTTCAAACAAAGGTATTTTGTTCCTAGGTATCGTCGTCTCTCTTCTTGATTGTCATTTTTTTTTTGTTCTCTTACTGAGATCTTGATTACAGGCCACCCTCAGGTTTTATAGGAGGCCGATTTAGTAAAAGCACAGCCTGTGCAGTAGGTTTGCACAAGTGAGTTAAGCTGATGAAAGGAGTATGTCAGCTTGCTGCTGCTGTCCTTGTATAGCACTCCCCGTTTGTGAATTGCTTGGTATTTAATCTTGTTTATTCCCAGCAAGAAGCAAATTGTTTGTCACTTTAATGAATCCTGCCTCAGCTGAAATACGGTGTGTCAAGAGAGCAGCGGCAAGGCAGAGGCATCGCCTTCCTTCTCCGCTCTCTTTTTTACTCCTTCCTTCTTTCCTCCTCTCTCTTTTCCTCCTCTCCCTCTTCTCTCATTCTTTCCCCTCCTCTCCCTTGCTCCCTCTAACGGCACACAAAAGTCCACCATGTCTTTGATGGATTAGAATGTCATTCCTAGCATCTTTGGGCAGAAGGAGCACTGGTCTTAAAAGTAGAAGACCTCAGTTACGACCCAGCCTCTTCCTGGCTACTTGTTCTGTCATACGTCACATCGCGTGTACCAAGGGAATGATAATAATATTTGCATTAACTGCAAGGGTTAGTGTTGCGAAGAGCAAACAAGATCGTATGTGTGACAGTATTGTCTGAATGTTAAAATGAAAAGTAAGCCTACGGAATATAAATGATGATTGCTGTTATTACTAATAATAATAGACCAGAAGATTTAGAGCTGGATTTAGATCCTCTTCCCCAATGTCTTCATTTCCCAGGGGAGGCAACTGAGGTCCAGAAGGGGAAAATGATTTGTCCAAGGCCGTGTAGACAGTAAGTAACAAAATCAAGATTGGACCATGAGTTCTTTTACATCAAATCCTCCTCCTCTTACCATTGCACCACAGCCTCTGGTAATGATTTACATCTCTCTAGCACGTTATGGCTTATAAAACACTTTGTTCCCAATAATCCTATGTGGCAGTGTGATATACTGGAAAGATATGTAGCTAAAAAGCCTAAATTTGAATCCTAAATCTGCTGCTTGTGACATGACCAGCCAGTCACTTTACGTCCCCTGGACCTCAGTTTCATTCTCTGTGCAATGAGTCAGCTGAACTAGGTTATCCCAAAGGTCCCTTCTAGTAGAAACACCAGTGAAACTAATGGGTGTGTAGTACAGGTATTATTTTTCCATTTTACTAATGAGAAAACAGAGGCTCAGAAAGCACTAATGACTTTCCTAAATCCTCGTAGCTAATAAGCACCAGAGTTGGGACTCAAATTTGGGTTTTCTGCCTCTTAAGTACAATACCCCTTTCTGCTACATCGCACTGCCTTTCTTCTTACGTGTAATATATTTTCACAAATTATTTCCAGACTAGTGATATTTGTTGCTTATGGTTAGGAGTCCTATTAGAGCAGGGTATTGCTGCTATCAAGTGTGATGTGACCTTAGCTTGGTAATTGCCTAAGTAAAAAGTCTTAATTGCCCCATAAATCATACAGCCCATCTATAACTAGCTATTTATCATGGATGCCAAAAGAGCACAGTTAGTCATAAGAATGAACTTTAGTGGAAGCTGGTGGCTTATGCATCTGGTTTGATTCATTCCTTTTAATTAAGAGTTACTGCTCCTTGATTGCTATTTCAGGGTCTGTAGTCACCTCCAGAATCACAGACAGTCAGAGATAGAAGAGATCTCAAGACCTGGTTTCTACCAGTTCAGTCTCTACCTAAGAAGGAGACTTCTCTATAATATCCTCAATAATCCAGCCTTCACTTCTAGGTTCTCAGGAAAGGGGAACCCTCTTCTTCCATTCCACCACTGGATAGCTCTAATTGTTTGAAATTTCTTCTTATAGCTAGCCAAAGTGGGCTTCTTTCCAACTCCCGCTTTGACCTGTGGCTCCTCCATCTGGCCTTTGTGGCTGTGCCAGAACACGTCCAATTCCTCTCTCTAGCACAACACCCTGTATATTTAGTCACAAAGGACAACTAGGAAAGTGTTGTTTCTCCTTTTCCTGGCTCACAAATTCACCTTGTTTCTATCTTAGGGACCCTTTCCTGACTACTCTGACTCACCATCATCCTGACCTCCACTTGCCCTTACAGTCTAGACTGCATCACCTAGCCTAGGATACTATTCTCACAATCCCCATGACATCTTCCCTCTTCTGTTTCCTCACTTATTCACCTCATTTCCACCTGTTGAAATCTTTTTTGTCTTTTTCAAGAACCAGCCCATGTTCTCTCTCCTGCTTTGAGCCGTCCCTTCTTCTGTTCATCTCACCCTTCCCAGCTAGAAGCATCATCTTCATGTAATCAATGATGAGAGCTGAAAGTGACTGTTAGAAATTATCTAGTCCAACCCCTTCATTAATAAAAACAATACTAGCGTTTACATAGGACTTTAATGTTTGCAAAGTGCTTTGTAAATATCATCTCATTTAATCTTCACAAGAACCCTGGAAAGTAGGTGCTATTATTCCCCCTCTCCTCTGCCTGCCTTGGTTTCCTGAACTGTAAAATGGGGATAATAATAGCACCTACCTCCCAGGGTTATTATAAAGATCAAGTGAGATATTTGTGAAGTACTTGGCACAGTGTAGGTGCTTCATACAGCCTTGTTTCCCTCTTTCCTTCCTTTACAGATGAGGAAACTGAGGTAGACAAAGGTGAAGTTTGTCCAAGGTTGCAAAGCATTATGAGTCTGCGGCAAAATTTGAACTCTGTTCTTCCTGACTCCACGTCCAGCACTCTACTCACTGCACCACCTAGCTACCTCTGATGAAGCAATCAAGGCCCAGAAATATAAAATGACTTTTGCAATGTCACACAGACAGTGGCAGAATGAGGATTTGAACCTGGGTCTCCTGATCCCCAATCCAGTGCTCTTTTCTGTTCTCCTCACTGGCTCCTCCCCCATCAGAACTCTGAGAATACTTTATTTGTATATTTCCTGTGCACTTATCATAATTTAATTTGTATTATAATTATCTGCACATACATCTTATCCCTCTGCTAGACTGAGACCCCTGTGACAGCAAGGACTCTGTTTTGGTTCATGTTGACATCATCCACAAAGCATACTAACATGGGGATTTACATAGAGTCAATTCTTTCATCTATCCATCTTTCTATCTGTAACTTATTTACTTATTTATTTATTCATGTATTCATTCACTCATTTATTCTTCCATTCATTTGTTCATGCATCCATATATATATATATATATATATATATATATCCATCTATCATCTGTTTATTTGTTTAATCATGCATTCATTCATTTCATTCATTCATTCATTCATTCCTTCGCACATCCATTTACTTATGTATTTATTTTAACTAGTTCTCAATAAGCAATTTTTTAATTAAGGCACTCAAGGAGTATCATATGCTGTTCTTTAATCATTTCCTACATCTTGAGCTTATTTATTTAAATCTTTGACCATAAAAAAACCACATTATTTCCTTCTCTTTAAAAAGCACCTTGGCATAGTGGGAAGAGCACTGAAGGTGGAGTCAGGACACCTTGATTCCAATCCCAGCTCTTACTCAACCCATGTGGCTATGAGTGAATCAACTCATCATGATGAGATCTATTTTTTTTTCTCATTTGGTAAAACGGAGGTGATAATAGCTGGATGATCTGCTTCACTGAGCTGTTTTGAAGAAAGCACTTTTTGAGTCTGAAGGTGCTATAGAAATATGAGCCCTTATCATTCTCGTGTTCCTCACAGTGTCTAAAGCAGGGACTCTTAACATTGCTGTGTGTATCACGAGTTCCTTTGTCAATCTGGTGAAACCTAGGGACTCATTCTTAGAAGAATGATCTTATATACATGAAATAAATGCATAGAATTACAAGGGAAACTAGTTGTAATGAAATACAATTATTAAAAACAATTTAAGTTTACATTCCCTAGGATAAGAACTTCTGGCCTAAGGACACGGCTTTGCGTGAACCTAATACATATATGAATATATGTACACATATCATGCATATAGATTATAGATATAGATTATATGTTTTATATATAAATGTATTTAAATTTTAAAACATATTTAAATAAGAGAGAACACTTATTGACTACAAGATTGATAAATATTGATTGGAAGATGCTTCACCACTAATAGCAATAACAACCAATTATTAAGCACCTAAAAGGGGTAAGACACTGGGCCAGGCATAGAGGATTCAAGAAGATATTATATATAAAACATATGCTCTGCCTTTATAATCAAGTTGAGAAAACAAGGTATGTTTAGGAAATGCTTAATAAAGAGGCAAAAAAGTGAAGGGGTGGCATAGTTAAATAATAAAACGAGGAAGTGTTGGTCCCATCTGGTCAGGCCCCATTTGGGTTACCAGGTTCAATTCTAGACAACACACTTTGAGAAGAATATTGACAAATGAGGGTGTGTACAGATGAGCGTAACCAGGATATTCCAAAATCACCTGATAGGAATATAGACTTGGGGAATGCCAAAAAGTTAGCCTAGAGAATAGAAGATCTAAATCTTAAATCTAAATCAGAGCAGGAAATAATTGCTGTCTGCAGTTGTTACACAAGGATGCTCATTTTAGAAGAAAGATTACGCTCAATCTGTTTGCCCAGGAAGACAGAGCAAGTGACAGTGGTAGGAGTTGAACGGGGGCAGATTTTGGCTTGATTTAAGATAAAATGTCCTTACTAGCGCTAGACTGGGCTGCTTCAGAAGGTGGCTAATTCCCCATCACTAAAGGTCCTTTTAAGAGGGGGCTAGATGACCACTTGTCAGGGATATTTTTTGAAGGGATTCCTGTTTAGGTACGGGTTGGCCTAGATAAGTAATTTTGAGCTCAAATAGAAATGGGGCGACCAATCTATTCATGAAGTTCCCCTGTGGGCCATGTATTGACTTAGTTTTAACATGTAATTTAATCTGTTTTATTGTGTTTTTATTTATTTTGCTAAATATCTCCCAATTACATTTGAATTTGGTTTGGGTATGTTTCTGGCCATATGCAGCCCACGAGCCATGGACTTAACACCTCTGGACCAGATGACCTCTCACTCCCTTCTCCCAACTTTGAGATTTTGTGATTCTTCCCATTTTTTCTCCTCCTCCAAATCATTGAGGTTGAAATATGTGTTCTATAAAATAATTTAACACCGGGGCTGAGAGATGTTATGTCTCACCAAGGGTTACCAGAGTGACAGTGGAGCAAAAACAGATGATGAAAATAAATAATTCACTGATTACACCAAAAATAATTATAATCTTACTACAGAATCCATTAAGGGAAAAACAAAATTAGCCTGAAAAAGCTGTCACATATTCTCCCCACTGAAAAGCAATTTATTATAACATGGATATGAAAAAATAATTTTGGAAATAGAATATAAGGTTGCATAATAGCATGGCACCTTGAAGGGAACACTGGGCAGGAAATATGATTTGGGTTCTCTTCCTGGCTATACCTCCAACAGATTGTATTACCTTGGATAAGTGACTATACCTCTCTGGGCCAGTCACCTCATTTAGAAAATAAAAGAATAAATTGCATCTCAAAAACTTATGATTCCTAGACATTTAGAAGACAAAACTAAAAAAAAAAAATCAATAATTCAGTTATGATTTCTTAGTGCCTCTGACTTTAACAGAATTAGCCACTGAGAGATCATTCTTATTGTTGTCGCCCGTATTATTGTTTCTTTTCCCTTTTTGAGGCTTGGGATTTCTCTCCAAACCAGTAACGTGGAATAATTATGTTTCAGAATGTGTCCAGAGAGGTAAGGACCTAATCAAGGCTTCTCTGGCTCGCCGGGAGGCAAGGATCGAAAAGATGACATTGGCTCACAAAGAAGAGAGAGTATGCCTTTTTGGAAAAACACAAAAGGTGGCTGACCCTGATGTGGTACTTAAGGTAATGTCCTCCTAGCGACTTCTTGAAAAATTGTATTGACTGTCAATCAAGCCACACGATTGCCTCACCGACCTAGATCAGCTGGGGCCATGGGCAATTAAGAATGACAGCCCCCTGACAGGGCCACCAACATGTCTCCGGACCTCCTTTCATTATTTATTGACAGCTGAACACTCAATGGAATAGTGGGTATGCTGTGCTTTTAGAGTTTCCATGGAATAAAGAGTATGCACCCCAACAAAATAAACTTACCCAGCTGTATAAAATGAGTCCCAAAGCATTTAAGATGGCATCCAGTCACTTGTACTTTTTCAATTAAAATATATAGAGATATTGATGTAAAATAGATATAAATATAGATCCATATTAAAGAACTTTTTATAATTAAATTAAAGAACTTGAAAGTCGGAAGACCTGGATTTAAGAGCCACTTACCAGGTTTGGAACCTTAGGTGAGCTTTTTTTTTTTCCCTCATTAAAATGAGGGATTTGAAGTAAATAATTGACAAGGTTCCTTCCAGCCTTAACATTCTATGATCTGAGGTCTGTTCTATATGACAGTCTGTGCTCTTCAGTCTCTTCCAGTACTAAAATTCTTTGTTCTAAGATCGCGTTCAACTCTGACATACTGTTTATTCTATGACCTACCTTGTGCACATTATGCCAGTCAGGCAATTAATATTTATTAAGCTCCTTCTATGTGCCATGCACTAGGTATACAAAGAAGGCAAAAGAAAGGCCTCTGACATCACGGATATCATTATAGTCAAATGTGGGAGACAATTCACAAACAAGTATGTACAAACAAGCTATTTGCAGGATAGATTGAAAATAATTAACCAAGTGAAGGAACTAGAGTTAAGGGGAATCGGGAAAGGCTTGCCTACTTAGAAAGTAGGATTTTAGTTGGGATGTGAAGGAAGCCAGTGAAGTCAGGAGGCAAAGATGAGGAAGAAGTGCATTCCAGGCATGGAAGACAGCCAATGACCCAGAGTAACTCAGCCATCTCCTCAAAGGAGGAGCTTCAAGTTAGACAATTCTACTTTTATCAATGCTAGAGTCAGTGATCTATATCTGGGACTGCCACAATCACAAATACATGCTTCTTCCTATAATGTATTCAATATAGTTACACCCGGGGTTGAGATACAACCTAATCACATTGAAGTCACAAGGAAGGGGACTGGTCCTGCTATTTTACTGATAAAGAAACTCCAGGTGAGGAAATTTCCATCCACCAATGAAGACGGACAACTTCTTTTCAACTTACAGACTTAGAGATTGCCTGAAGTGATCTCTAACTTTGCTCAGCCGTATTCTTGATGCCTCCATATGTGTGGCTAGGAAGGTAGTTAAAATCTAGGCTTTTAGTAAATAGTCAAACTGATTCCAGCCATCTTGATAAGATGGCATAGTTGTTATAAAGTACACTGGATTAAATTGTTATGAAGTATGAGGGACCTGGCTGCAAATCCCAGAAATTCTCTTTAACTGTCTAATCTTTGAAAAGTCACTTTCCCTGCATGAGCCTCAGTTTCCTTATCTGCTAAATGGGGGAAAGGGCACTGTGGATTAGATCAGATGTATCAAATACATGACCCACAATACTCCCAAGTGCAGCCCAAATTGGAATGAAATGTAATTGGGAAATATTTAACAAAATAAATTAATTAATATAAAAGAAATATAAAAATGCATGAATAAGTCAATAAGCAGCCCGCAGGGATTGGTATGTATGGTTTAGTGGTCCGTTTCTGTTTTAGTTTGACATTACTGGATCAGATGACCTCTGAGGTCCTTTCTATTCCAGAATCTTATAATTCTATGATCCTGTGAAGTGAAATTGGTTTATTTCACCTGTCACAGTCTCCAGGTACTCTGCCTTCTCTCGGGCTCCTCTCCTCACATGAGAGAGGTCAGCCAGAATGGTGAAGAGTCTTTGGAGGAAGTAGGGATGTTTACTTCAGAGAAGAGAGGAGTCAGGGGAACATAAGCACTGTCTTCAAGTATGTGAAGGGTTGATTAGATTTGTTCTGTGTAGCCTTAGAAGTCCAAGGCAGTAACAGTGGGTAGAAGGTACAAAGAGATAAATTTAGGAAAAGCCTCCTAACAATTAAAGATATCCAGAAGAAGAACTGACTGCTTCTCAAGGTGTGGTGAGCTCCCCCTCACTCAAGGTCTTCAAGCAGAGGTTATCTGATCTTTTGTTGGGTATATTGTAATGGAGATTTTCCCCCTAGGGGGATAAGTTAGACTAGATAGCTAACAAGGGGCTTTCTGACCATAATTCTATACTATGACTCAAACTCTCATTCCTCCTCCCTAACTTCTCCATTCGTTACTGCAAAATGTTAAGACTCTTTCGAATCCAAAGTGTCTTCCTTAATACTGGATCAACATCCAAGTGTGGAATTCAGTCTCTCTCCCCTAATAACCAGGTACTGCTTATAGCAAGACGAAGCATGGCATGCTGAGAGTGCCGCTACTTTGATAATTGCTAGCGTGCCACCGACCTCCTGAGTTATTTTTAAATCCATCCTTCACTTTCAAGAACAAAAATAATGTAAGAGAATCATGACTAGCCCCAAGAACACTCACTTAAAGTGTTTGTTTGTTCCCTGACCCCCCCACATGTACACATCAAATATTCTAACATCTTAAGTTTTAAAACATGACTTGATTGGAGTTAAAACAAATAAACTCTGTGTATTCAATGCAGAATGACTCTCAGGTCCCCACCCTCCTTTTGAAATTTTCCTGTTGGTGTTACAGTGGCAGGTTTGTATTTTCATTTGGGGAGTGAGCTAATGCAATGACTACCTCAGCATTAAAGCTCTCTTCCACTATCACAAGTTCTCAAGTAAACCTGGCCTTTGTAGGGCAAGAATTCAGATTAGCAATTGTTTATTGACCTTGTGAAAGGCAAATGGGATATATCATCATGTTTTATTTGTCTGTGGTGATGGTTTGGGGGTCTATAAAGCAGAGCAGTCAAACCTGCAAAGGACATTCAAAAACAGAATGTCTTTTGGAAGGACTAAAAGGCTCTTCTAACAAAGAACAGATGGTATTGGTGCTAGAAGGATAATGCCTAAACTGACCTGCAGGGGAGCATCTAACATATTAGATTATTAGACTATTAGAGCACCAGGAACCTGTGAACATACACTATAAAAAGTGGAATTAAAAGGGACTCTGTAACATACAATCCAGGATATTGGATCTTAAAGAAGAACCCCTGGAATATCAGAGCTGGAGGGGCCCTTTGAGATCATCTAGTTCAGTGCTCTCATTTTACAGATGAAGTTATAAATCAAAGGTCACACAGATAGTAAACAGCAGACCTAGATCTTAAACCCAGGAGCTCAGGATGGGCATTCAGTGCTCTATCAGGGCCATCTCCACTTGTCTTGATCTGTATCTTGCCACTGGACCCAAGATGGCTCCTGAGAAGAAAGTGAGGCTGGTGATTTTGCACAGTCCTCACTCACTTCAATCCAATTCACTGGTAAGTCATGGTATCATCTTCCTAATGTAGTGGTCCTCTTTGAGAACTAAGGACAAACAACAGTGATGTGCCATGTTGTCTGTCTTCCCAAAGGTAATACAATTATTCTTATAAAGTAATGACTGGACTTTGGAGTAATATTCAGAACCCACAGAGAGGCAAATTTGGGCTTTATGTAAGGATTTTTAAAAACTGATTAGAGTTCTCCAAACATTCAATGGCCTGCCTCAGGGGATAAGTCTTCATGAAAAGGCTGAATGGCCACTTGTTTTTTATGCTGCAAAAGGGATTTTTATTCAGATATGGGTTGTACTAGATGACCCCTGAGGTCCATTCCCACTTAGCAATTATGTGAATATTTGCAGGCAAGCCAGCTTGAGGAGTAGAGACAAATTTCTTATTTTTAAGGGAATCAGCAGCAGGAGTGAAATCTGGAGACAGGCAATATTAATTATCATTCTCATTTCTACCATGTTTTAAACTTACAAAACTACTTTTTGTTATGACATACCTCTGCACAAGATAGTTCAAGTAGAATTCTTTCAATTTTACAGGAATTTTACCATGAAATTGAGTCAAATGATTTGACCATAATCATACATGGTTAGTCAACGTGGAACTAGAATTTGAACCACTAACTCCACACTCTCATTGTACGACATGATATTCAAAAGTTTTCTCTCCAGAACATTCAGACATAGACATAGGAATCAGAGGCATCTTCATTCCTAACCAGACCTTGCAAGTGTGAATACCTTTGGATGGACTTTTAATGACCTATTGTTCCCTTCTCCTTATGGTTCTGAAAAAGTTCTTTCAGTTTATTCTTACTACCCAACTGAAACCTGACAATTCTCAGAGCCAAAGATGAATGTGTGTAGTTTAGAGAAGTATTGTGTAAATGTTTTGCAGTCTTGGAAAGAGAAGCCTATAAGAAAAACAAACAAACAAACGATGCCATATTTCTGAAATTGAAAACAGTTTCAAGTGTTTTTTTTTAACCAGGAATCTATTTTCCTATTAATTTCAGGCTTATCATGAATTCCTGGAAAAGCAGAGATTAACTCGTTATGATCTCGAAGAGGAGGATGACTTTAAAACTGCAGAAGCAGTCACTGATCTGTGCCAGGTAAATTTGTGACATTGGGGAAAATTGTTTGAATTCATATTCATGTGACACCAATATTCTTCCCCTCTCCCCCAAAAAAATTATTCTCTTTAAAGGCAGTCTTGTAAAGTGGGTAGTGCTTAAGGCTTGGATTCAGGGAGATCTAGATTCAAATCTCAGTTTTTGATATATTTTAGCCTTGTGGCCACGTGGGAAAGTCACATAACCTCTGTGAACCTCGGTATCCTGATACTCATAGATTAGTAATGCTTCTGTTCCATACCTCCTAGGGTTGCAATGAGGAAAATGCTTTTTAATGTAAAGGTTTTTTTAAAGGAAATACCAAAAGAACAGAGTAATCAGTAACTATAGCCAGATAACAGAAAAAGTGAATGGGTATGGAAGCATAACACCTAATAGAAATGGGAGATGCTGGTGGTGCTGATGACGAGTACATCAAGGGCATCCAGAGATGTGAAAATGTCGCAGTGTTTCTTAGGCTTTCTTTCATGTTGTTAGTCTCTTAAGTCTCAGCTCTACTCATAAAAAGCAGAAACTTTTTTCCTTGGAGTGCCCGGTGAGGTCAGTAATGAATCATGCAGGTATCCATGGCTCCAGGCCAGACTGAAGATCTCTTGAGTGTCTTATATTCTATATCTGGCTCCAACCAGTCTTGTTATAAAATACCTTCCCAAATTGATTTCACATTACTTCCCCTTACACAGTCTATGTCCTGGGGTATGCTGTTAAGTTTTCAATAACCAGCCCTCCAGGAAAAAAAATATACATATGATACACATTTAATTTTAATCCACATTATTAACATTTTTCTCTATCCCTTTACTTAAGTCTGGAAATCAAGAAACCAATACATCAAGCCCCGATTTGTGGCATTTGCTAATTTCCCAGGTGTAAATCCTCACACTGGAAATTTAATTGCCGGCTTCCTGAGCCTGTCTGACCTGGCTGCAATACACCCCTACCATGTTCCAGACAAAATGGCCTATTTATTGTTTCCTATGCATAGCCTTTGCACAGGTTATTCCCATGCCTAGAATATTTTTTTTTCCTTAAAAAATTATCTTGGAATACTTAGCTCCCATCAAGACTTAGCTCTAAGGTCTCACAGCTCGTAAGTGTCTGGATTTGAACTCAGATCCTCCTGACTCCAGGGCTGGTGTTCTATTCCCCACACCATTCAGCTTTTCTTTATTATTTCCCAAGATCTATGATTCATCACAGAGTAAGTATGCCTTCCTCTGTTACATTTCACATTTTCTCTATGCATCATCTTTATGAAGAGCTGTGGTCAAAAAAGAAATCATTACCCACTGACCAACTCTCTGGTGATGAGTTTTTACAAAGCAGGTGAGGCTGGTCCTTTAGAAATAGGTATTTAGTCCTTGGCCAGGTATTTACTTGAAATCTTTCCAGCTCTGCCAGCTTGATAGGACCTTCCAGAGCTTGCATTTCACAGACATAGACATCAAGAACCCAGAGTACCCTCCATGGCACCATAAGTTATGAAAGTAGTAATAGTGATTGACATTCATGTGTATGAAACTGTACATTGTCAGTGAATTAAATATGACAATGGTTATTATACCAGTTTTATAAAGGAGATAACTGAGGTGGTACCATTAAGGGAAATGGACAAGGTCATTTACCTAAGGACTGAGATATTCAAGACTCTGTTCTTAGACTTCTTATTCCAAGTCCTCTCTTCTTTCCAACGTATCAAACTGCCTCTCTGAATCTTTGTTTTCATGTCAAATGCGTATTTTAACATAAAAAGAGGAATACAGAAAGTACCGTGTGTGAGTGAGTGATGGATTGTGTCTGTCTATATATAGGAAGGAGGTATTTGGTAATACACTTTAGAAGAGCAAGGTGTTGATGTGAAAAGAAGAAACAAGGTGTACTTGCATGTTTGTACATCTGCGTAGGTATCTTGTGGGAAGTGTGTACAAAAGCGTGAGTCAACTTGTCTACTCGAATTAGACTTGACATGTTTGTTTGGACCCGTGTTGTCATTTCATTGGAAGCCCTTAGGGACCTCAAAATGGGTTTCTTCTGCATGCTCAGATCGTGGAAATCACTAGCTTTACTTATCTCTTTTGAAAGGAGGTGCTGACTACCCATCTTTTATCTATTTTGAGTCATAAAAGATATAATAGAGCTATGAATGAAAACCATTTATGAAGCACTTGCTGTATGCAGACACTGTGCTAAGATCTAAGGATATGGATAGAAAAGAGTTAGTACCTGTTCTCAAGGTGCCCACATTTCAATAGAGAAGATAACATATGTAAAAGGAGTTAGTTGCAGGGCAGATTAATAGGCCCAGTGGTCCTTGGGTCCTGTGTAATAGCAAAGTGGTTGGTCATGCAACTTCTTTGAAGTCACCTCTATTGATAAAATGATTATGATTTCGGATATTTCACAGTGTCAGGGACATGGGTAGTACTTTCTTTTCTGGGTCTTCAGTAGTTATGACTGATGAGCAGGTAGGGGAATGCAGCACCTGCACATACAGTGGCCATATTGGGTCTCCAGAGAGATAGATCCACTAGATGGTGGAATCAGGGACTGGCCTGAGGTGCGCAATTATGCCCAAGTCTCTTGGGAGCAGAGTCCTGGGATTCCTCTACAAGGGTGGGAGATGAACCCCATGAGGCAACCCTGAGTTGTTCAGAGTTAGGTCATGACAGGACATTCTCTGGCGGGTCTTTATCTATAATGGAAAAATATTTGGTGACAACCCTAATAATGGACCCTGTGCATGTCATCTGAGGACCAGTCTTAGGTCATGCAGAAAGGTCCAGTACCAGAGACTTGGCCACCAAGTGATGAAATTTTTGAGCTGAACAACTCAGCAAACTGTCCCCAACCCCCCGGTGGAGTGGGGAAGAGGAGATACTGCCATCTTTCAGTACAAGGAATATCTATCTATCCCCTCCATTTTGTGGACAAGGAAACTGAGGGCCAAGGAGAGGAAGTGATTTTCCCCAAGTCATAGTGAGCCAGGACTAGATACAGGTCATCAGCCTCCTGGTCCTGTGCTAGTTCTGCTACCTTGGACTGCCTTGCCTTCTAGATGGCATAAAGGTCCATGACGTGGTTGTGCCCATTTCTCTCATTGTGCCAGTAAAAGCACCACCACCAGCACCACCAACAGATCACAGTTAGACGCTACATCAGGATTACAAAATGCTTTACTCATAGTGTTTCATTTGATCTTCACACTCACCTTATGAGGCAGATAGTAGTAATCTTTTCAATAAGAAATGAGGCTCAGGCACCTGCCAAACGTCAGACAGTGTGTTAGCAAGAGCTAAGACACAGACGTGGGATCTTCTGATCCTGGGGTCAGAGCTCTTTCCATGACACCAAGATGCCTCATCTGTAATACGAATCATAGGAAACGCAGGGCGGTGCACTACAAAAATCTGCCTTGTACAAATGTGTCCCTTTACCCATTCCCCCAATCACAGAAGCTGGTATTATTAAAACAAAGCTGCATCATAGGATAATGGCAGCTCCCATGTGTCTGGTATACTGTACCAGTTTACAGAATGTAACCTTAAGGGCAAGACAGGGAGTCCTCCCATTATGATCTCTGTCTTACAGATGAAGAAATGAAATGACCTATCTAAGGCCATACAGCTAGGAAGTATTAGAGTCAGGACTTATACCCAGGTCTCCTAACTATAGATAATGTACTCTTACTACTGTATCATCCATCCTCTCAGAATTCTTTGGCCTACAGCAAAAGACACCTAGGTGGTACAGTGGATAGAGTACTTAACCTGAAGACCTGAGTTCAAATCTTGCTTCAGAAACTTACTTGCTAGGGGCAGCTAAGTGGTGCAGGAGCATCAGCCCTGAAATCAGGAGGACCTGAGTTCAAATCCAGCCTCAGACCAAACACTTGATGCTTACTAGAGCTGTGTGACCCTGGGCAAGTCACTTAACCCCAATTGCCTTACAAAAGAAAAAAAGAAAAAGAAACTTACTTGCTGTATGGCTCTGGGCAAGTCGCTTAACCTTAGTCTACCTCAGATCCTCATCTGTTCAAAGAGAGTTGATAGTAGTATCTGCCTCCCAAGGTTGTAGTAGAGGCAAAAGGAGATAATATTTGGTAAGCAGTTTACCAACCATGAAGTGCTATATAAATTCTATCTATTGTTATAAAAAGGAACATTTTCTAAATGGTACCTTCATCATTTTGTAGTAGGTATTTCGACCATAAAAAACTACCATGGTCATTTGTGAGCTATATACTTCCTGCATGAAGAGTCATTTTGACTGCTGTCCAGTTAAGGTTTTTGATGGCTATTCTTGAAGTAGAAAGAATGCTTTAGGTATAACTTTGGAGTCATTGTCTTTGGTGAGCAAACGACTCTGAGACAACAGATTCTACTTCCAAACTTTGAAGTATCTGGGATATTATTAGTGAGGGCTCTCCATCCTCAGGAGTGGGTTGTAACTCACCCAGGCTTGATCATCCTGTGCTGTGCTTGTCCATGTCCTTGCGTAAACTTTCCAAAGAGGATCTTGATTCAACATGTGCAAGGTTAGCTCTTGAGTTCCAATCTATCACTGTCTGTATCTTCAACACTGAAAATGAACATTGACCTGAGATTGGAGTCAAATCAGGAGAAGGAAGCTACCTGGCTTACATTTAGAAATTTGGATAAAAATTATATTGAGAAGATACAAGCTGATGTGAGCGTAGGATGACTAATCTCTGTGTTGAGGATGCAATTTAGTGACCAGAGCTTGATTATAAAGTGGGCGTCACGTTAGGCCCCTGCCTGGCTCTCAGTAGAGCAGTCTAAATGTGATGCAGTAAACATTCATCACATCAGAGGCACAGCCACCAGCAAAGGACTGTTTCATCCACAACAGCTCGTGAAGGCCTGGACAGAAGCTTTTATTTGACGAGTCAGCAGAATCGTAAATTAGCCTTTGGGGAACTGAAATATTAAACATTCACGAATTGGTTCAATAACCCCCCC